ATTGCTAAGTCATGGAAGTTGTCAGAGAGGAATTGATTCTCTGAACTAGAACAGTGTAGACCAGTGTAGTCTTCTCTCTCCTTCCCTCAAGCCTAAGTTTCCTTTCCTTTCCTTTCTGTCCTTTTTGTGTTTATATGGGACATGTAATTTATTTAGAGATAGGGTCTCATTGGCCCAGTCTGGCTTCAAACTCATGATCCTTTAGCCTCAGTTTTCTGAGTGCTGAAATTATAGGCATATGCTACTATGTGTGGCTTCTTTTCACTTTAGTTTTTTTTTTTCAGTACTGAGGTTTGAACTTAGGGCTTTGTGCTTATGAGACAGGCACTCTGCCATTTGAGCTATACCTCCAGTCCTCTGTGTCAGGTTATTTTTCAAATACAATCTGGTATTTTTTTTTGTTGTTGTTCAGAGCCAGCCTTGAATCTCAGTCTTCTAACCTATGCTTCTTGTGTAGCTGGGATGACAGGCGTGCATCACCATACTTGGCTTATTTGTCGAGATAGAGTTTTGCTTTTTGCCCAGTCTGGCCTCGTACTGTGACCTCCTAATCTCCACCTACTCAGTATTTGGGGTTACAGGTATGAGCCACTTTTCCTGGCCTAACTTTAATTTTTAAATCATTAAAAAGATGAGAGATAGAGGTGTAGCTCAGTGATAGAGTACTTGCTTATGTGAAGTCCCTGGGTTCAATATGTAGCACTGAAAAACAACCAATAAATAAGTAAAAGATAAAAGCACCTGATGATGGGATAATGGCTCTCCTGTTCTGCCGTCTTCTTCTGCAAATTTCTTTGTTTCATAACATGATAAATCAGAAAATCAGGGTTGAGGTTTGAAGCCAGCCTGGGCAAATAGCTTGTGAGACCCTATTTCAAAGCTACGCAACACAAAAAAGGCTGGCAGAGTGACTCAAGTGGTAAGAGCACCTGCCTAGCAAGTGTAAGGCTCTGAGTTCAAACCTCAGTGCTGCCTCAAAAGAAATATAAACATAAATAAATAAATACATATTTTATCCATTTTGGCTAAAATGGAGTAGGGGCTGAATTGATACTGGCTAATGGGAAACAACAGAGGGTGCATAATTCTAAGGAATTCTGTCAAAAGATGTTTTTGTGTGAAATGATTAACATTTCACATTTAGAAGGGCTAGAGGCATAGCTTGTGTTAAGTGCCTGCCTTGTAAATGCAAAGCCCTGAGTTCAAACTTCAGTACCACAAAAAACAAACAAACAAACAAACAAAACCCTTAGAAAAAGGAAAAAGAGTGAATAGTTATCCATTATCCACTCAGAGACCACAACATGCCCAGTACAGCAGTGGATGCTTTCTTAACCTTTGCCTTATTCAGCCTTATCTTTTCAAATGAGAAATTGAGGGTCAGAGAGGTTAAATGACTTGTCCAGATAATACAGCAGTGAATGACAGGATGGGTTCTTCTGATTTCCAAGCCCACACTAGATTTTCCTTGATTGGTAAGTGGCTGATGGAGACAGAAGTTCTCATTCTTTTTTTGCTGGGACTGGGGTTTGAACTCAGGGCCTCATGATTGCCAGGTAAGTGCTCTGCCACATGAGTCACTCCACCAATCTAAGACAAAAGTTTTCTGTTTATTTCAGGAACAGGTTTCTTTTTCTTTATTTTTTGTAGGAGGGGGTATATTGTTCCTGCAATGCAGATGTGTGGAGTGGACAAAAATTCCTATTCCATCTCCCTGCTCCAAGAACCCATTTAATGTATTGTCTTTTGATAGAGGATGTATCAGATATTAAACTGATAAGAATGGATACTACACTTGATCTTAGCCAAAAGGCTGAGAAGCCACAGGAACAGGTTTCTTTTTTTTTTTTTTTTTTTCCATTTTTCTTTTATTATTCATATGTGAGGAACAGGTTTCTTATGGGTTGGGCTCTACTCTCCCAGGTTGTCCTGGATCATAGGGTTTAAGGTACTGCTTGTGCAACTGAGAGTGCCAGCACATTTTTCTTCACCTTTTAGGTGGTTAGCCTTTTGCCCAAAGCTTATCTCTAAATTGTAACTGTTCTTGGGAGTTTGGTGTGACATGAAGACTATGTTGTTGGTTTTATTCTCTGTGATTCCATTATGTTAACACCAGTATATGGTGTCCAGAGTGTAGCCTGCTTAATTGACAGACTTCTCAGCTGTTTTATAGTAGGTTCTTTGGTATCTTTGGCCTGTTGGCCATAGTTTGAAAACTTGCTTTTGTTTATTTAAACATAATTATGGAAGAAGTATGTAATTATACTGAGCCTTCAACTATGCCAGAACAAATCTTTCTCTTACTGGAAAAGCTGGTTAAAGAGATTGTAAATGGCATTTTAGTTTTTCTGTACATCAATTCATACCTTTTCCCAAAGCTGTTTGAACTATGACCAGTTCTTAGCTGCCAGGTATTAACAACTTGTGGCTCCTTATAAGCCTAGGTAGATTCACACCATTGACCTTGAATTGAAATACTTTCTAAACTGTGACTCATCTTTGACCCATTCTTTTTTTCACTAGGAAATACAATGAATATTAATTTAAAGAATTTCAGTTGTCCCTTCTGAAGTGTACACTGCTCATTAAAGTTGCTGGAACTTGTTTTTCTGATAACTGAACTACAAATTAAATGTACACTTGGTGGTTATACTGAATCCATGTGTAAACAGATAGAGAAATCTGATTAGCTGTGTAGAGAGGAAGACTGTTGAAGATGTAACCATTCTTTCTGACTTCTTTCAGAGAGTCATCTCTTGTACCACAGGGGTGGGATGCAGGAGGGTGAATCTAAGGCTGAACAGAGCAGGTAGTATAAGTGTGTATTTGAATCTGTAAATATCACATTACTGTTTACAGTACATTGGACTCTTCATGCAAGGGCTTGTTCAGGCCAAACCAGGAGGAACTGTTCTATGCTTAAGGCCAAGAATAACATCCTGACCAGCAGGGGGACAGAGGTCAGCTCAAAGCAACAGCTCTTTGGAGCTATAGGACATTAAGAACTTTGGAGCAACTGAGTTTATTAAAAAGGAAGACAAAGGGCTGGAGGTGTGGTTCAAGTGGAAGAGCACCTGCCTAGCAAGCACAAGACTCTGAGTTCAAACCCCAGTACCGCAAAAATATAAATAAATAAATAGGAAGGCAAGATGTACTTTGGAGGACGTGTGCAAAGCTCTTACTAAGCCATGGTTACCTGTGTACCTCTCTCAATACAGCATAGTTTCTTTATGAAAAACAAAACTCATCTTACCTCTTGGATGTATGATAAGCTCATGCAGCCTCCTGATCATTTGAGATTTCCCCTTCCTACCTGTACATTGATATATCTGTTAGGTTTTTTTGTTTTTTTGTTTTTAATTAGAAACATTATATATTCAGCTAAGCAGTGTTAAAAGTTTGTTCTATTATTCTGGTCCTTTATTCTTCAACCAACATCAGAGAATCTGATTTAAAAGATAATATATGTTCACTAAAAACCAGTTTACTGGAGATGTTCCTGACTGACAAGAGTTTTGTTTCTGGGATCTTTCTGTGCCTGCTTCTTTTCCCTTCTGTCTTTTCTCATTCTGATGCTGGCTGCTCTCTCCACAGAAGCAGCTCAAACTGTTTTTTTGCGGGGAGCATTCTAAGTTTGTTCTGTTGCCTTCTCTGGGGTTTGTTTCTCTGGTCTGGCTTCACCTGGTTCTGGACCAGTGTGATCTTGGGAACACTTTTATTTTATTTTATGTCTTGGCTCTCATGCCCTGTGCCTCATTGGCTTTGCTGGTTCTCTCCTTTTCCATTGGTATAAGTTGTGTTGCCTTGGTGGGAACCTCCAAAGCTCAGGTGCAGCCTCAGGCCTCTTTGACTTTTCTATGGTCTATTGAGTTCCTTTGTCCTTTCTTAGAAATTGGGTGATGAATTCGATGTTCTGTTGTGGGCTATTGCTGACTTGCCTAGAATTCTAGTTTTAGTTGTTTAAACAGTATATAGCAATTTGGATTGTATTTGCCAGGTGGGACTTGTTGCCAAGTCTCTTTACCCTTTTGCCCCTTATTTTTCAAGTGAAAAGTTAGTGAAGAAGGGAGTGTAACCTTGTTCATGGTCACATAGTAAGCTGCTCTTATGCTTTTTGAAGCAATAAGAGCTGAGAGAGGTTTCTGGATGGAAGAGACAGAATGGCCATACAGAAATCTTATTGCAATTTAGAATATACATGCACATAATATCAATTTAAATCATTCTAAATTGAAGAAATAGAAAGGTGGTTTGGCTAGAGTAGAAATTGGTTATAATGTAAGGAGGCATAGAGGTAGAAACAGTTACAGAGATGGGCGTCTTGCCAGCTTGAGATCAGACTATCTAGAGAGGGGCTATAGATGATTCTCTTGGCACTAAACTCTGCTTTGGGAGCTGCCATGTAACGCATGGTGAGGTTCTGTGGGGTCAGTTCATTCTGTGGGGTCGAGTCAGCACAATGAATGGTTGACCTTTTGATTGGTTAAATTCTTCCTGATAGTTTTGCTGCTATCAGATAGTTCCATTAACTCCAAAGCCAAAATCATTTTCTGATAGGTTTGATGTGCTCAGTTGGCTTGTGGGACAGAGCAGTGCCTGAGAGTGCTGTAATACACTGCATTATATAATAATCCTTCAGAAGGCCTTTTTTCTCCCTTATAAATAAATCACAAAAATTCTGATGGCTTTTTGTTTTTGCTTTTTTGGGGGCCAGTAATTGACATCTCATTTGGGAGCCCTGGTCTCCCCCTCATTATTTCTTTAGGCATTCCTGTCCTAAGTTGACCTCCCTGAACTGACTGGAGCTTTTGGCCGCATTGCGTTTTACGACTTTGAACTGTTTTTGGCTTTGGAACTCTTTCCACCTCTTGTCTTTTCCTATTCACTGTAGTAAATCTGCTTAGAGGATAGAATGATGTTTTTTGTCCCCTTGTTTGTTTCTTGATTCCATAAATATGTTCTCTTCTTACTAATCATTTTTTGCTTTGTTTGTTAACCAGGCTACCAAGCAGTTTCTGGAAGAAATTAACAAGTGGACAGTCCAGTACAATGTTTCTCCACTATCCTGGAATGTGGCTGTCAAGTTCCTCATGGCCAGGAAGTTTGATGTGCTTCGTGCCATAGAGCTGTTCCACGCCTACAGAGTATGTGGAGTCAGAGTCAGATGGGTGGTGGTGCTTTCTGAGTCTTTTTGTCTTTCTACTGTATTTCACACACACGTTGCTTCTGTAGCTGTTCTCCCTACTCCCGTGAAAATGGGCAATATCCAAGAACCTTGTGATTGCTGAGGCTGAACAGGGCAGGGCAGCTCCTAGAAACACCACCGCTGTCCCTAAAGTTGGATTGTAGACCAGGATACCACTTCTAATGATTGTCGCTGAGGAAGTAGCTTAACAGCATCTTGGTGGCAAGATAGTGGTTCACCCTTCCTGGAGTTTGAGTCCCAGCTGTCCTCATCAGTCCCTCGTGTTCCATTTACTCCACAGTTTTTCAAGATCTCTGGGATTTTTTAGAAACCTGCTGTTCAGCTAAAATGCTCAGTTTATAGAGTCATTCAGGAAGGTAGCTCTAGTGGTAGAAAAGACAAGCAACTGTATTGGCTAGGGCCAGAGCTTATTAGTACCATTATGCAAATACAGCTTCATCAGCATTTTACTCGTTTCTTTTTCTTTCTTTTTTTATTGGTGGGACTGAGGTTTGAACTCTGGGCTTCACACTTACAAAGCAGATATTTTACCACTTGAGCCATACTCCAGTCCGCTTTTGCTCTGGTTATTTTAGAGATGGGATCTCTTAAACTGTTTGCCCAGGCTCACTTTGAACCTCGATCCTCCCGATCTCAGCCTCCCAAGTAGCTAGGTTTACAGGCATGAGCCTGGCTCATTTTCATCTTTTTAAGGAGCTCAGACTTTGGTTCTGTGTTTGTTTGCTTTCTTAGTCGGCAGCATCCTTGACAGATCACTGTACGTTCTGTTACCTTGGGGTCAGAAAATCCTGAAGAGATTCCAGATCTCTATAAATTTATAAGAAACTGGGGTAACAAGTACTAGAATTAACTTAATGCTAAGGGTCTCTTACAGCTACTTTGTAGGGCAGTTCATTCAGTATTTGTTCACTTATTCAACAGATACTTATTTTATACCTACAGTGTTCCAGGTACAAAGATTACTATTATGGAGAGAGTAAGCCAACAATGGCAGAAATGTTATAATAAGGAAGCACAGGGTTTAGTGGAAGCACATTTAGTTAGGCAGGTCAAGAAGCATTCTTATAGAAAATGACTTCTAAACTAAGAGCTGAAGCATGGGCTGGTAGAGTGGCTGAAGTGGTAGAGCACCTACTTGCCTAGCAAGTGTGAGGCCCTGAGTTCAAACCTCAGGTCTGCCAAAAAAATAAATAAATAAATTGCTGAAGCATGAGTTGGAATCCAACAAGTGGTGTAGTGTGGCAGGAAGAACAGCAAATTCAAATACCCAGTGGTGAAAGGAAAGAAATTTAGCTGAGCCAGTATGTTGATGGGGAGTGGGGGCACGATAGGAGATTGAGCAGCAGAGATGAACAGGCCAGATGAGAGAAGATCTGTTTTTTCTGAAGGACAGAGAAATTCATTGACTGTATAAGCAATGAAATAAATTTTCTGTATTTGTGTTCTGGAAAGCTTTTTCTTTGCTATGTTATGGAGATTGGATCAGAAGGGCTGTATGGAGTCAGAGAGACCAAATGGAAGTCCTTTTGTATTTACAGGGAGAAATGATTGCAGTGTTATTAGCATAATTTCAGGGGACATGGAGAAAAGTGGGCAGATTCTAGAAGTAAAATGGGCAGAATGGACTTGCTTTAACTGTTGTGTGAGGAAAAAGGAGTCAAGGATACCAGGGTTCTGACTTGGGTCTTAGGATAAATGGTGGTGGCATTCACTAATGTAGGAGACACAAAAGTAGGTGTGGGGCTGTGGAGAGAAGGTCATTAGTCTAGTTAGGGCATTTTAAATTTGAAATGCCTTTGAGACGTCTAAACAGACATGTCCTTGAAGCATATAATATAAGTATAAATTATATATATCTAGGGTTCAGAATATAAATCTAGGGTTCAGAAAATAAAGCTGGACCAGAAAAAGATCTCAGAGTGATCAAAGTAGAAAGAATATTGGAACCATGAGAATAGATGGAGTTCATCTTGCTGGGGTGTGAGGAGTATGAAAATTTATAGGATTAGAACTTTTATCTTAGATTTTTTGCTTTCTTTGGTGGAGTATTACTTTGAAAATTGAGTTAGAATGCTTTGGATGATGTGTGCACTTTTCTGTGATTGCACAACTAATATCATCACTTGCTGGATTGCTTCTGAAGACACTTGAGTTTGAACCTTGATCCTCCCTATGTCAGCCTCGCAGGTATCTGTGATTACAGGTATGAGCCACCAGTGCCCAGCTTTTGGGTCCATATTTCAATGTTCTTTGCAATGTCAGGGATGCTGCATGTTTCAGAACTTTGATCTTACACCTTAAAGTAACATATTGCTTGGTCTTAAGGGTTAAGATTCTTAGGGATTCAGACTACATTACCCTACCTGAGAGGCTAATAAGGTAGGTGTGGAAAGGAATTCTGGTAACACATAGCTGGCCTGAAGTGGAAGGCAGATTGCAGGGGAATTTACAACTCAGTTGACTTCTAATATCCCTTATCTTTGAGATTTGGTTATTGCATGAAACTCTCTTGGATATATTGTATTTTGAGATTAATTCATCTTGATCTGCTTCCTTTTCAGGAAACACGAAGGAAGGAAGGCATTGTGAAGCTGAAACCTCATGAGGAGCCTCTCCGCTCTGAGATCCTCAGTGGAAAGTTTACCATCTTAGTGAGTCTTTATGGATGTACCTTGTAGTGCTTTCTTACTTCCTATTGTGGCTGTTTTCCTATTTGGATTTTAGTTTTAGGTACCTTGTCCACAGTCAGGAATAGATATGAAGTATCTGAAGTTTGGCATCCCAATTGTTCTAATAATAATTAAATTATAGTTAGTTACTAATTAATAATTATTAGTTATTAGAATTACTAGTAATACTTGAATAATGTAATTATAGGGAGTCATAGTATAGTAGACTTAGAAAAGTTTTTCATTGCTCTGTTAAGATTAGTCAAAACCTTGGGGTGGCTGAGTACTGTTGACTTATGCCTATAATCCTGGTTACTCAGGAGGCAGAGATCAGGAGGATTATTGTTCGAAGTCAGCCCAGGCAAATAGTTCGAGAGACCCCGAGTCAAAAAACCTATCACAAAAAAAGGGCTGGTGGAGTGGCTCAAGTGGTAGAGCACCTGCCTAGGAAGAGTGAGGCCCTGAGTTCAAACAAAAAGAAAAACAGAAAAACCTTGAGATGGAGGTATAATGTGTAACAACACATTCTTCCCCTCTATCCTGTTTTTTCTTTTTGGTGGTCTGGGGTTTGAACTCAGGGCCTCATTCTTGTTCGGCAGGTGCTCTACCACATGAGCCACTCCACCAGCCCTTTCTTATGCTGAGTATTTTTGAGATAGGGTCTCGAGAACTATTTGCCTGGGCTGGCTTCAAACCACAACCTTCCTGATCTCTGCCTCCTGAGTAGCTAGGATTACAGATATGAGCCACCAGCACTTTGGTGAAGCTCTCCACTTATTAGAGATCTCTTGGTTTCTCAGGTAAGTGTATGATAGTATGTTTAAAACAGCATGGAAACCACAATCCTGTTCTATGATTCTCTCCTGCTCCTTGTTTCTGTTGCCTTCCTGCCTATAAAATTAGTTTATGAAGCCAGAAAAGAACCATCCTTTGATCACTCTACAGTTGAAGATCAAAGAACTTTTTTTTTTTTTTCTTACCACATTACGGTGCAGGGGGTGCTGAGAAAATCAGGTATAGGATGAAAATTTTTTCCCTTTCTGGAGCAATTGATGCAAGTGAGGGAAGTACTGCCATTATCCATTCTTTTCATGTGTCAGATATTTACCCTGGATATAAGATTTAGTGGTGGTTGTGATTTTTAAATTTGATTGCCAAATGTTTCTTGTTTGATTTACTTTAGAATGTTCGAGACCCAACTGGAGCCTCCATTGCTCTCTTCACTGCCAGGTTGCATCATCCCCAAAAGTCGGTTCAACATGTGGTACTTGAGGCTCTGTTTTACTTGCTGGACAGAGCTGTGGACAGGTAAGCATTGAGACTGTCGTGTAGGTTGTGCATATCCAGATTGGAAAGTCACAGTTTTTACTTAAGTTCATCGTGCCTTCACCATGCTTCTGGGCTATGCCCTGCACAGTGGCATGAATAGAAAACAATTTTGTTTTAAGAGCATGGCATGTTTGCAGCTACCGTCAGCATCTTGGCTGTACTTCAGGGAGACGGAAGATGAGAGAGCTGATTCTTGCCGTTGTCAGTGGATTGAGAATTCCTTGAGGGCATGACCTCCGCTGGCGCTTTGTGCTCATAGCAAAACTCTCTGGGGGCTGGGCACTTGAGAGTGTGCGGCTGGAGGATTGTAAATTCAAGGCCACCCTGGCTACATAGTGAGACCCCGTGTGAAAAAATGAACAAAGCAGGGTACCAGTAGCTTATGCCTATAATCCTAGCTACTTAGGAGACTGAGATCATGTGGATTGTGGTTTGAGGCCAGCCTGGGCAAAAGTTAGATCCTATCTCAGCTGATGGGTGGGCATAATGACATGTGTCTGTCACCCAAGCTATGTGGGAGGCTGAGATTGGGAAGATTCCTGTTCCATGCCCGTCTAGGCAAAAAAGTTTGTGAGTCCCCATGTCAGCAGAAAAAAAGCTGGGAGTGGTGCATGTCTGTCATCCCAGCAATGGCAGGATTTATCTCCAAAATAACAAGAGCAAAGCCAGTTGAGTGGCTCAACTGGTAGAGCACTCGCCTTGCAAGTGTGAAGCTCTGAATTCAAACTCTAGTGCTGCCAAAAAAAAAAAAAACCAAACAACAACAAAAAACACACACACAATAAAAAACAGCACACACTAAAAAACCAAACAGAACAAAAAGGGCTGAGGGGCATGGCTCAAATGATAAAGTACTTACCTAAAATGCATGAAACCTTGAGTTTAAAGTACCACAAAAAATGACCCCAAACAAACAAACCCCAAAACAAAAATCAAACACCCACCCCCCCGCCCCCCAGGACTTCAGTTCTTTTGTCTGTGAAATAGTAATAATGCTGCTTGCCTCAGGATTTTGAGAACCTCTATTTAGCAGTATCTCAACAATATAAAGTTAAGCAAAATCATTTCAATTTTAAAAACAGGTATATAAGTAAAAAGAAACAGCTTTTTCTCTTCTGAAGCAAATGAGGTTACAGTTTTATAGACAAACTGAAGGCCAAAGAAGTTATATGACTTTTTTTTTTTTCTGGTGCTGGAGATTGATCCCTGGGCCTTGTATACGCTAAGATGCGCTACCATTATGTGACCTTTTTTTCTTTTTTTTTTGGCAGTCAAAGGGTTTAAACTCAGAGCCTATACTTTGAGTCATTCCACCAGCCCTTTTTTGGGAAGAGTTTTTTCAAGATAGGGTCTCGAGAACTATTTTGCCCAGGCTGATTTTGAGCCTCAACCCTCCTGATCTCTGCTTCCTGGGTAGTCGGGATTACAGGCATGAGCCACCAACACCCGGTTTATGTGACCTTTCATCACATGTTGCTCCAAGTAGGTCTAAGATCCTGTTTTCTTTGCTCTTGGTTGGAGCCATTTGTACTCTACCATGTTGTTTTTGTGCTATACTTCCTTTTTTACCCCTCATGATTGCCATTTATACTTTGTTACTGCTCTTGACATCTTTGGTTGGTCCTTTGGGTTAGAAGTGATGTATTAGAGCTGGGTATGGTGGTGCACCCCTGTAATACATAAAGCAAGATGGTCCGGAAGCATGGATCAAATCGTAGAGCACTTGCCTAGTATTCTCAAGGCCCTGGTTCAATCCTCAGTACAGATAGATACATAGATAGATAGGTAGATAGATAGAGTGCTATATTGGTAACTGAAGCCTGAGGTAGTGAGAGACAGCTATGTACAACTTTAGTCCGACTGCTGACTTACAACTTTAGTCCGACTGCTGACTTCACTGCTCACAGAAGCAGTGAAGGAATTGTTTGAAGTGGGACTCTATAACTAGTTGGTTTGTTACTGCTTTGTTTGTTATTTTCGTAGTACGTTTCTTCTCCTGTTGATGCTTAGCAAGGAGCTGTATACAAATTCTACACATAGCATTATTCTGAAATGGTGAAGTTCCTGAGGAGTGAGGACAGGACCAGTAGTCTCAGTGGCGTTTCTGAACTCTTCTTTGCTGTGACTGGTCTTTAGGCATAATTTCTAGAATGTTGATATGTTTGAAATGCTCCTTTAGCTGAGGAGAATGAATGACTTTCTCAGAAAATCCAATAGTGGCCTTTCTCCTTGGAAGGCTTAAGGAGTTTGGCACTCTCATGCAGGCATGGCTGTGTGACCACATCTTGCTCTTTCCAGTGTGAATGTTGGATCCCAAGGAGGTCCACAGAGGTAAACATGATTAAAATTGTGTTTTCATGATATTCGTCCCTTTATTAAAAACTCGGTGACTTCTCATCCAGAGAATGCATATAAGCTCAATAAATGTGAACCCTTTTCTCCAAGTAAAATCTTCTGAGTAGAAAATCTTGTTTTTCCTTAAACCTGAATTGTCTTCCTTCTCCCTTACTCTTCACTAAACTCTGCCCCTACATCAATGCCCAACTGTTTTCACTGGCTCTTTCATCAGTTCAACCTGTTATGAATAAAATCCTTACTCTGACCAGTGGATTACCAATACCAATCATTATGTATTTAATTATACATGGCTTTAGCTGGCAATGTAGTGTAGTGGTAGAATGCTTGCTTGCCTAGCATGCGTGAGGCCCTGAGTTTGACCATCCAGCACTGCAAAATAAATAAGTAAATAAATATAAATAAAGCTGGGTGCTGGTGGCTCACGCCTGTAATTCTAGCTACTCAAGAGGCAGAGATCAGGAGGATTATGGTTCAAAGCCAGCCCAGGCAAATGGTTTGCGAGACCCTTTCTCGAAAACACCCATCACAAAAAGGGGTCCTGATTTCAAGCCCCAGTACCGCAAATGAAAAATAAAATAAAATAATCTGGCCTATGTCATTTATCTTATACTGATACTAGATTTTTCATCTATCATTAGTGTGTGTGAGCTTCTTGTGGGCAGAGAACCTTTTTTTTTTTTTTTGACATTATATAATAATAGACAATTTCCAAATCTTTATGGGAGGAAAGAGAATGCTGTCATGAATATCCACGTCTACTATCCATCCTCTTCCAAGTGATCCATAACCAGTCTTGCTTCATTGATTGCCCCTCTTGCACCCCCTACTCCACGTTCTTTTGAAACAAATGTCAAGAACTGTACTTTATTTTTTTTTTCCTTTTTCTTTTATTATTCATATGTGCATACAAGGCTTGGTTCATTTCAACCCCCTGCCCCCACCCCCTCCCTTACCACCCACTCCGCCCCCTCCCTCTCCCCTCCCCAATACCCAGCAGAAACTATTTTGCCCTTATTTCTAATTTTGTTGTAGAGAGAGTATAAGCAATAATAGGAAGGAACAAGGGTTTTTGCTGGTTGAGATAAGGATAGCTATACAGGGCATTGACTCACATTGATTTCCTGTGCGTGGGTGTTACCTTCTAGGTTAATTCTTCTTGAACTAACCTTTTCTTTAGTACCTGTTCCCCTTTTCCTATTGGCCTCAGTTGTTTTTAAGGTATCTGCTTTAGTTTCTTTGCGTTGAGGGCAACAAATGCTAGCTAGTTTTTTAGGTGTCTTACCTATCCTCACCCCTCCCTTGTGTGCTCTCGCTTTTATCATGTGCTCATAGTCCAATCCCCTTGTTGTGTTTACCCTTGATCTAATGTCCACATATGAGGGAGAACATATGATTTTTGGTCTTTTGGGCCAGGCTAACCTCACTCAGAATGATGTTCTCCAATTCCATCCATTTACCAGCGAATGATAACATTTCATTCTTCTTCATGGCTGCATAGAATTCCATTGTGTATAGATACCACATTTTCTTAATCCATTCGTCAGTGGTGGGGCATCTTGGCTGTTTCCATAACTTGGCTATTGTGAATAGTGCCGCAATAAACATGGGTGTGCAGGTGCCTCTGGAGTAACAGTCTTTTGGGTATATCCCCAAGAGTGGTATTGCTGGATCAAATGGTAGATCGATGTCTAGCTTTTTAAGTAGCCTCCAAATTTTTTTCCAGAGTGGTGTACTAGTCTACATTCCCACCAACAGTGTAAGAGGGTTCCTTTTTCCCCGCATCCTCGCCAACACCTGTTGGTAGTGGTGTTGCTGATGGCTATTCTAACAGGGGTGAGGTGGAATCTTAGTGTGGTTTTAATTTGCATTTCCTTTATTGCTAGAGATGGTGAGCATTTTTTCATGTGTTTTCTGGCCATTTGAATTTCTTTTGAGAAAGTTCTGTTTAGTTCACTTGCCCATTTCTTTATTGGTTCATTAGTTTTGGGAGAATTTAGTTTTTTAAGTTCCCTATATATTCTGGTTATCAGTCCTTTGTCTGATGTATAGTTGGCAAATATTTTCTCCCACTCTGTAGGTGTTGTCTTCAGTTTAGAGACCATTTCTTTTGATGAACAGAAGCTTTTTAGCTTTATGAGGTCCCATTTATCTATGCTGTCTCTTACTTGCTGTGCTGCTGGGCTTTCATTGAGAAAGTTCTTACCTATACCTACTAACTCCAGAGTATTTCCTACTCTTTCCTGTATCAACTTAAGAGTTTGTGGTCTGATATTAAGATCCTTGATCCATTTTGAGTTAATCTTGGTATAGGGTGATATACATGGATCTAGTTTCAGTTTTTTGCAGACTGCTAACCAGTTTTCCCAGCAGTTTTTGTTGAAGAGGCTGCTATTTCTCCATCGTATATTTTTAGCTCCTTTGTCAAAGATAAGTTGGTTATAGTTGTGTGGCTTCATATCTGGGTCCTCTATTCTGTTCCACTGGTCTTCATGTCTGTTTTTGTGCCAGTACCATGCTGTTTTTATTGTTATTGCTTTGTAATATAGTTTGAAGTCAGGTATTGTGATACCTCCTGCATTGAAGAACTGTACTTTAAACTTGTTGGTGTCCTTTGTAGCATGTACCTCAGGAATCAAACTTAGTAGGGAAACTATCAGCTGTCATTGTAAACCCCATATTCTATGTCAAGAAAAGGGAAAATCTTACTGCATCTGTATTTATTCCACGTGTTTTCACAGGACGAGCAGTTTTATTTAGAAACAGAACCTGGATCCAGCATAGCTTCTTTTTATTACATTCTCTTTCCCCTGTCATTGACTTTTGTTTTAGTCTCTTGCCACAAACAAGCCAGAGCCTTTGAGCAGAAAACCTGCAGTTCTTTTAATTGGCGTTACATGAGTAAGTTCATGGAGAAGTGGGAATTCTGTAGGCCTGGATAATCTCAAAAACTGTGCACACACTTGACAGCACCTTTGATTTAGTGAGCTGTGGTCTTTCTGGGGTTACAGTGGTGCTAAAGTAAGACGTGAGGAACTAGTAGAAACTCAGTTTGCCAGTAAAACTTGCACATGCCGCAGCACTAGTGATTTTTAGAATATTACCTTCTGGGTGGTGCCTTGGATTTTGTTGAAGCGATAAAGATGTGGAGTTGGCTAAAGCAAAAAATTTGGATACAGAATAACATGGAGAACCTTGGATTCAGGAATGTTTCCTAATTTCTAAATAGATGTGGAATTTTGCTATCTATGAATGATCTTTTGGGTAAGCAAATCAAAAACACGTAAAGATCTAGCTTGTTTTGAATAAAGCATTTGCGTTAAAAATGTTTTTGTTCAATGATTGACTTACAGCTTTGAAACGCAAAGGAATGGACTGGTGTTTATCTATGACATGTGCGGTTCTAATTATGCCAACTTTGAGCTGGATCTTGGCAAGAAAGTCCTAAATCTGCTGAAGGTAAGGCCGTGGGAATATCTTCTCAACTCTCCTTCAGTGATTAGGATCACCTTTTTGCTCCTTGGGAAGAAAAGATTTAGGAATGATGTAAAGTTCAGACATTATGTTTAAAGGCACCAGTAAATGCTGACCAATACTTGCTGCCTCAGAACAAGAAACGGTCTTAAAAGTGAAGTGGGAGCTGTTAAAATTTAAAAAGCACAGGTTAGGGACTGGCCCAGTGGCTCAAGTGGTAAGAGCGCTTGTCTAGCAAGCACAAGGTCCTGAGATCAAGCCCCAGTGCTGCAAAAAAATTTTAAAAAGGCACAGGCTAGTACTGGGCTGTAGCTGAAGTGATAGAGCGCCTGACTAGCAAGTGCAAGGTCCTGAGTTTAAACCCTGGTGCCAACAAAAACAAGTACAAAAAAAACCACAAGCTGATTCTGAGTCATAAAGGTAGGATGTCCTTTTCCTGGAGTCTTGTAGAAGAATAGATAATGAAGGCCTAGGTAGTGGCATCTATGAACAGTGTCACTTATTGACTTTTCAGACATTTTTTGTCTGCCTAGTCTGGAATATGTTTTAAATTTCAGTTTAGTTCGCACAGACATATATATAATAACTAAATCCATACGTATAAACAATCCTCTGTACATAGCTTCATAATCTTTTATCCCAAATCTTAGGTCTAGATTTGACTTTTCCAACTTTAAAAGATAATCTGGTAATCCAGGCTTGTTAGCAAATTTCCATAATCCCAGCACTCAGGAGGACGAAGCAAGACGATCTTGAGTTAAGGCCAGCCTGGGATATGTAGTGAGACATTGTCTCACAAAATAAATGTGGTATATATGCTGCTAAATATTTATTTGTTTGTTTATGGTACTGGAATTTGAACCTCAGGTGCCTTGCTAGACAAGCACTCTACCCTTGAGCCACTAAATACACCTCTTAATGTTTCTGCATTAAAATGTATTAGTATTCAATACAATGGGAAAGAATAAAAGCTATAATATAGATTATGCTAATTCAGGTCACATTTTGCTGCCCAAGGAACTTTTTTTTTTTTTTTTTTCTGTAGTAGGGCTTGAACCCAGAGCCTTCACCTTGAGCCACTCCACCAGCCCTATTTTTGTGAAGGGTTTTTCAAGATTGGGCCTCGTGAACTATTCGCCTGGGCTGGCTTTGAATCGAAATCCTCCGGATCTCTGCCTCCTGAGTAGCTAGGATAGCTAGGATTACAGGCGTGAGCCACTGGCGCCTGGCTTGCCCAATGAGTTTTTGGGGCCAGACTGACAGGAGATTTTCATAGTTGTTCAGATGTTAGAATTGAGGATAAGGGTATGTAGATCTGTGTACATATTTATAAAACAAAATAAAAGTTGCATAGAAGAAACTTTGCTTTTCTACTCATTTTGATTGTTCTACTTTATATTTTTACAGTTACTCATGACCAACTAAATTCATTTCAGGACTCACTGAGTCACACTCTGCCATTTGAAAAGCATTGGTGTAGGAGTCTTTATTCTAGGATCTCAACTGGGAGTGCTATTTAATTAGCCTTTTACAAGTGTTTGCTTTTATAGCCTTACAGCAAACTTACAGAAGAGGATGCTATACTTTATGTTGTTTCCTGGGACTTATTTTTTTTCAGTAAACTTTATATTACTAAAATTCATATCGTGGCATGTAACTGTGATTCATTCCTTTTCATTGATGGATTGAAGGATTCATTCTTCATTCATTGATGAGTAGAACAGTTTATTCATATCTCTTCTTTTGTTGATAGCTCCCTGAGTTGTTTCCTAGATTATAGCTTAAATAGTGTTTCCATGAACATTCTTTTTTTTTTTTCTGGTAGCACTGGGGTTTGAACCCAGGGCCTCTTGCTTGCTAGGCAGTCACTACTACTACTTGAGCCACATACCCAACCCTTCTTTGCTTTAGTTATTTTTCAGATAAAGTCTCAAGTTTTTGTCAGGGCCAACTTCAGACCATGATCCTCTACCTAACAAACACCTCCTGCATAGCTGGGATGACAGGTATGCCCCACCACATGTGGCTTGTTTGTTGAGATGGCATCTTGCTGACTTTGACATGGGCTGGTCTCAAACCATGATCCTCCTGATCTAAGCCTTCCAAGTATATGACATTATACACGTGAGCCACCATACCTGGTTCTGAACATTCTTTTTATTTATTTATTTATTTATTTATTTTTGCAGTACTGGTGCTTGAACTCAGGGCCTTCACCTCGAGCCATTCCACTAGCCCAATTTTTTAAGATGAGGCTTTTTGAGATAGAGTCTTGCGAACTATTTGCCTGGGTTGAACTCTGGTCCTCCTGATCTCTGCCTCCTGAGTAGCTAGGATTGTAGGCGTGAGCCTCTGGCACCTGGCTGTTTTTTTTATTTTTGGTGGTACTGGGGTTTGAACTCAGGGCCTTGTGCTTGCTAGGCAGGCTCTCTATCACTTGAGCCACTCTACCAGCCCTTTTTTGTGCTTGATATTTTTGAGATAGGGTCTCGTGAGCTACTTGCTCAGGCTGGCTTCCAATTGCCGCCATCCTGATGATCTCTGCCTCCTGAGTAGGTAGGATTACAGGCATGAGCCACTGGCACCTGGCTGAATATTCTTTTTTTATAATTATAAACTTCTGAAGAGAATTATTAAGTACATAATAAATTTATATGAAATTGTCATTTTTGTAGGTCTCAAACAATTTTAACAATTTCATATTGTTCAGTCAACTAAATTCTGTTACAATAGAAATACCACTTCATTACATAAAGAGAATGAGGTGACTTTGTATATGCAGCATTTAAAAATACTCATAACCAAAAACAAGGGTAGAACTTTGTATACAGCAGGCTACATACAAAACACAGAAGTAAAAATACTCATTTTTTTGTATTTGCTATAATGCTTAAAATTCTGCAGAAAGTATTAACAATAGGCAGAGGTGTGCAAGATTAGACTGGATAGATGTTAAGAGTGGAAAATATTTCTTGTTTATAACTTTTGACTTTTGAAACTTGAATGTTAGTACAACTAAAGTTTTAATTAAAGAAAGTTTAGATGTTAGCATGTTTACAACCTCATATATCATTTACAGTTTATTCTGAATGCATTCTGTTTACACATTTGTTACTTTTTCTTATGAAGGTGGTAAGTTGATTGTTGATCTGGGTCTTCCTCTTAAAAGTAGGCACTTTTAAAATAGTGCTGAGTGATTATTGTCTGTTGAGGATCTATTGAATTGCATTCCTCAAGGTTTTATCTGCTTCAAGTGTATTTATTTGTTTTTAATCATCCTAGAAATACTATGTCACTATTGCCTTTTTATTATAGCATGAGCATTTAACATCTACCCTTTCAGTGAAATTTTAAATGTACAGTAGAGCACTATTGACAGTAGCACAGTACTGTATAGCAGCTCTTGAGAACCCACTTCTTGTATAACTGAAGCTATGTATCAACTAAATAGCAGCTCCTCATTTTCCCCTTCCAAACAACCAACATTTTACTCTCTGGTTCTGCAAGTTTGGATGTTTTAGATGCTTCAGATAAGTGAATTGACACAATTTTCATCCTGTGGCTGGCTGATTTCATTTCACATAATTCTGTCCAGGTTCATCCATATTTTTCTGGGCTACACAATAGGTAGTTCTGTTTTTGATTTTTTGATGAACTTTCATATTTTTCCATTCCCACCAACAGTGTACAGGATTCCAGTTACTGCCTTTTCAGAGGTGGTGACCAACTAAGAATTCTTAAACGTGCCTTCTGAGGGGATAAATATAACTAAGATACATTGTAAGCATTTTTGTAAATGTCACAATGTACCCGCAGTATAACAATAATACGCTAATAAAAATGAAATTAAAAACAAACATGCCTTCCAGTGAAACATGCAAGAGAGTCACTAGAGTAGTATTTCTCAACCCTTTTTCATTATGGCCTCTAAGGAGCTTTCTAGGACATTTTTTCTTTAATCAGTCCTCTTTTTTTTTTTGGCAGTGCCGGGGCTGGAACTCAGGGCCTCATGCTTCGTGGGCTGGTGCTCTATCACTTGAACCATTCTTCCAGCCCTTTTTTGTGCTGGGTATTTTCTAGGTGAGGTCTCAAGAACTGTTTGCCCAGAGTGGATTGAATCTCCATCCTGATCTCTGTCTCCTAAGTAGGTGGGATTACAGGCGTGAGCCACCAGTTCCATATTTAATCATTCCTTTACTAACGATAATAGGTATTGAACTCAGTGCCTCGTGTATGCTAAGCATGTACTCTATCACTGAACCTATGTACTCCTCCCAGTCGTAATGAGATTTTAACACCATATCTATACTGCATATGTCTTTATTCATAAAAATGTAAGATTTTTTGTCCCTCTCAATTAATTTCACCCCTGTGAGGGTGTGATGTCACTCTAGTTGCATCCTTTAAAGTGTATACCTAGAATTCGCTGGCTTGGTCATAAGATCTGTGAAGATTCAGCTTTGTTAGACAGTGTCTAGTTGTTTTCCAAAGAGATTGTACCCACTTGCCATGTGTAAAAATTTCCATTGATCCTACCCTCTCCAACTTAATCATGTCAGATTTCTTTTGTTTTCCCTAATCAAATGGGTATAAAATGATATCTTATGGTATAAGTTGAAATTATCTCCACATGTTTATTAGCTGTACATGAAATACCTATTTATGGTTGTTCATTTATGGGTTAATACATTATATTATTAATATTGATTCATTAAGATAAATATATACACACCCATGCACATGGTCTTTCAGTTTATAGCTTGTTCTTTCTCTCTCTCTCTTTTTTTTTTTTTTTGAAACAGGATTTCATTATGTTTGTACTTGGGTTTGAACTTGGCCTCACACTTGCTAGGCAGGCAATCTACCACTTAAGCCATTTCATCAGCCCTTCTTTGTGTTGGGTATTTTCAAGATGGGCTGGCTTTGAATTTCGATTCACCAGTGCTTTTGACTTAACATGTTCTGAATTTTGGTTAAATGTATCAATATTTTATTTTCTGGTTAGTGTGTTTTCTGTCTTAAGCCCTTTCCTACTACAAAGTCAGAAAAAATACGTGTGTGTGTGTGTGTGTGTGTGTGTGTGTGTGTGTGTATGTTCCTGGATCTCATGCATGGTAGCATGCATTACCATTGCATCCTCTGGTGTTTGGTTTGGTTTGTTGTTTTTTTAACTGCTCTTTAAAAGAGCATCTGGCCATGGTGATGCTTGTCTGTAATCCCCGCACTTGCAAGACTGAAGCAGGATTATTATGAGTTAGAGTCAAGCCTAGGCTACGCAGTGAGACCCTGTCTCAAAAAACAAAAAGCTTAAATGGCAAATTTTGTTATGTATATTTTACAATTAACAAAATTAGTACATGAGATGAATTCCTAATCCTCCTGACTTCTTCAGCCTCTCCAGGAGCTGGGATTATGTGTGTGAACTACCACATCTGGCCATTTAAACCATTTTCAAATTTTCAGTTCATTGGTATTCAGTACATTCATTGCAACTATCTCTATTATCCATTTTTAAACTGTTTCATCATCACAAACTCTGTACCCATTAAGCATTTCCTCCTTCCCCAGCCCCAGCAATTCTATTCTGCTTTCTCTCTATATGAATTTGCTTATTTTATGTCCTCATATAAGTGGGATCATTACAGTATTTGTCCTTTTGTGTCTGGTTTATGTTAGCTTAATATCTTCAGGGTTCATGTGTATGGTAGCATAGATCCAAATTTCTGCTTGAGTCCCTGCTTCCTCCCACCCCGCCTCAGTGCTGGGGATTGAATTAAGGTTGTGTACATACTAGGTAAGTATTCTACTACTGAGATACATCCTAGCCCAGAAGTCCCTCCTTTCTTTTTGGTAATATTGGGTTTTGAACTTAGAGCCTCCAACTGGACCATTGCCCCCAGCCCTGTGTTTAACCTTTTCTTTTTTGGTGGGACTGAGGTTTGAATTCTGGGCTTTGCACTTGCAAAGCAGGCACTCTACTGCTTGAGCCACTTTCCAGTCCATTTTGTTCTGGTTATTTTGGAAATGGGGTCTCTTGAACTGTTTGCCCAGGGTGGCTTCAAACTGTGATCCTCCTAATCTCAGCCTCCCAAATAACTAGGATTATAGGTGTGAGCACCTGGTTCTGTGTTTTAACTTTTTTGAGAAGCTGTCTTCCTTTTTTTTTTTGGGTGGTACTAAGGGTTGAATTCTGGGCCTCATGTTTTTGTGCTTGCTAGGCAGGTGTGCTACCACTTGAACACACCAGGCCTCTTAAAATTTTAATTGTTTTTATCACTAAGATCTTTATGTATCTGGAGCTGATTTTTAAGTTTTGAATAATGTGCAGGAATCTGACATTTTTCCTATGTCAGTTGCTGCTTTTGCTTCCAGTCTTACATATTATGTAGTATCCCCTTTCCTCCTATTAATTTTTGGTGGTACTTGGAGTTGAACTCAGGGCCTCACATATACTAAGAATATATTTTAACATTGTGCTGCGTCCCCAGCCCTTTTCCTTGATTGCACTTCCCAGCACTGGGGTTTGAAGTCAAGGCCTTATGCTTGCTAAGTAGGCACTCTTACTGCTTGAGCCACTCCACCAATGAACTGTTTGCCCCAGGCTGGTTTCAAACCGTGATCCTTGTAATCTCTGCCACCTGAGTAGTTAGTATTACAGGCGAGAACCTCTGGCACCTAGCTCATGTAGTTTCTAGTTTCTAGGCTTAAACAGGATTATTATCATTACAGCTTTTCATTTTGTATTATTTTGATAAGATATTTCTAAAATTGATTATATGACTAAAGATTATGAGTTTTCTTTTATCTTTTTTACAGTTCCCTTCCATATAATGAAGTAGTAAAAAATGTACATTGTCATTAAGAAGTGTGAATCTGCTTCCTTGTTCCATTCCAGCACTGTGCTCTGTAATTTTCCTCTTTTTTTTTGAATTTAGAAATTCTCAAATGATATTTCCTTTTCTTGTGTGTGTTTTAATGAAGTTGTATCATTTTTTTTTTCAATGTTCTTAATGTTGCTTGTATGTCCTTTTTTGGTTCAAAACAGTGACATGAGCCAGATATGGTGGCATGTGCTTATAGTCCCAGCTACTCTAGAGGCAGAAGTGGGCGGATCAGTTGAAGCCAGGAGTTCAAGGCCAGCCTGAGCAACATAGCCAGATCCCATCTCAAAACCAAAACCAAATAGTGAAAAGTTAATGATGTTTTGTTTTTTTTGTATAAATTCAAAGAAGAGATGATAGTCTTAAATAAAATCCTGTTGCTTAAGACTCTATTTCAAGGGCTAGAGGTATTGCTCAAGTGGTAGAGTGCTTGCCTTGCAAGCATGGAGCCCTGAGTTCAAATCCCAGTACTGTAAGAAGAATCCGTATGTGTGACTTAGAAGCTCTGGCTCACACTTGGTGGCAGCGCTGTACTGTGTGAGCCATGCCCCCAGCCTTGTATGAAGGCCCTAAGCAGAGCCTTGTCTTTAGTGCACATGCTCATCATTCCTGGGAATGATTTCTTCTGCTTGGAATGCCAATAATACATGGTAGCCCTGCCCCCATAAGGACTGCAATATTAAAAACCCCAGTGAAACCAAGCTCCGTGGTTAGGAATAAATGGTTTGTCATCTTTTTGTTGTCCTGTATCTCCTTTTTTTGGACCTTTTTTGTATTTGTGCACAGTAGATCATATTTTTTTATTTATGTGTTTATACTTGTTTATAGTGCTGGGGATTGAACCCAGGATCTTGTGCATGCTTATCATGCAGCCTACCAGAGTTACCTCCTCAGCCTAAATCATATATATTTGTTTCCTTATGGTGTTGACGATTGAACCCAACTCTTTGAACATGCCAGGCAAGCGCTCTACCACTGAGCTACATCCCCAGCCCTGGGTCATATATATTGATTGGATAAACTAACACACTGATGAGAAAATGGTTAAAAAATGATGCATGAAAGGTTATGAGAGACTAAATAAAAGGTTATGAAAGAAAAATGTTTTTGTGGGTGCCAGTGGCTCATGCCTGTAATCCTAGCTACTCAGGAGGCAGAGATGAGGAGGATTGTGATTTGAAGCCAGCCCAGGCAAGTATACTTGTTACTGAAAATTATCTCGAAAATGCCCATCACAAAAAGGGCTGGTGGAGTGGCTCAAGGTGTAGGCCCTGAGTTCAAGCCCCAGTTTTGAAAAAAAAAAAAAAAAAACAAAAAGAAAAGAAAATGTTTCTTTTATGTAGAATTTATTCATGATTTGATTTTTTTTCTTTAGGTTTTAATAAGCAGAATTTTTCTAGGATACATGCAGATATTAAATATATCTGCATGTATCCTAGAAAAAAATATATTTAAATGTACATATATATGTATACATATTTATGTTGATGTGTGATAAGAAAATCAGAATAGTTTTTGATCCATAAGGCTAATAGTCATCATGAACGTAATACCATGGTTTTTACAGGTAAATCATCTAATTTCTTTAAACTAGTATTGCTTTCTCTCGCTATTGAAACGGGACCTGAATTAGGGTATAGACCCCTTCCCCTCAGCCCCTCCCTTGCTGGGTAAGAATGAGAAGTGCAAGAAAACTACAACAGCTTAAATCCTCATTCACTTTCTCCACAGGGAGCATTTCCAGCTCGTTTGAAGAAGGTGCTGATTGTGGGAGCACCTATATGGTTCCGAGTGCCCTATTCCATCATCAGCTTGCTCCTGAAGGACAAAGTCCGGGAGAGGGTAAGGCAAACTAGCCTCTTCTTATTTGGAGGTTGATAAATACATTTCCATCTCTACTGGTGAAATCCTGCCAATTAATTTTCTACCTTCAAAAAAAATCCTCTTTGACTAGGGATGTAGCTCAGTGGTTTAGTGTTTGCCTAGCCTGCCGAGTCCCTGGGTTCAATCCCCAGTACCATCAATATAAATATATATATATTTGTATCCTTTTTGCTTGTCTTCTAGAGCATTTTCTGCTTCTCTTAGTGTATTCACTCACATTCTCTACTTTATTCCTTCATAGCTTGGGACAGGCCACCTCCCTAGTTCTCCACAGGCTCTTTATAGATAGGAAGTAGCCACAAATTATCTGGCCCTTCCTTTCTACAACACCTTGCATAGGGTAGTACTGAAGGAATGTGTCCAGGAAGTAATTTAAGGATGGCTACTATTTCCAAAATTTAGCCTGTGCTGCACAAGCCTATTGTGCAGTTGACAGTTCTTAAGGGCTGGGGGAGTAAGCTAAGTATTGAGTGTGTGCTTGGCATGCTCAACGTCCTGGGTTCAGTCCCTAGCCCCCAAAACGAAACAAAATGAACATTTAATACAATTACATTAGTTAACCTAGCATAAGAATTTGTTCACCTGAAAGAACCATCCAGTCCCTTTGGCCACTCAGGTAGTGGGAGAGAGTCCCTCACTGTGTCTCTTATTACTTTCATTTCTGGCATTTTTTTCTTAAAACAACTTATTGCTACTGATTTAAAAAATGTCCAAAATTACTTTAATTATAATCTCTTTCTATTATAACTAAACTGTAGGACTGAAAGATAATAGTATGGTTTCTAGTTGTAGCATTTAAAAGAAATGGCATATTAAAATAATAAAGACTGTTTTGAAATACCAGATTTTTGTGGTAAGGAATGAATTATGAATTAAAATGAATAATGCAGATCTTTCTAACTGAAGCAGCTTGGATCAGAAAAGGGAAAATAAAGATATTTGGTGTGATGGAGGCTACTTAGTGAACTAATGGTGCAGAGTAGGAGAGATGTTTCCTAAGAATTTGAGAGGACTCTCTTTTTTTGGGTGGCTTGGGATGGTTTCTGAGGCAGGGTCTTAATGTAGCTCATGCTAGCCTCAGATTTGTGATCCTTCTGCCTTAGCCTCCTGAGTATTTTGATTATAGGAGTGTATCACCATACCTATCTGTAAGAGGACTCTTTAGGCATGTTCTTGCATTTAAATTATAGGAATATACCTGCATGTATTAACTCAAAATACACTGAACACTTTAGCGAGTCTAGACCCTGGGCCCTGGGAATTAAACTTTGAATGAGACAGTTCTTACCTTCGGACCACATGGTTCTGAGAAACAACACAAATGTACATGGGGAGAGGACTTGTGCTTTCCAGCAGCATAAAGGAGAGTATTAATTCAGGCATTCAGGAAGGGCTTCACAGAAGTGAGGCATGAACTGGTCTTTGAAGGAGGACATTCCAAGAAGAGGCACCAGCAAGGGAGACAAGTGTTAGGAAGAACAGCATTCCACTCCACACATGGCTGTGTCCAAGCAGAGAGTAGAATTAAGTATGATTACTTAACTAGCATTTTTCCATGCTTCCGGGTGACTTGCCTTGTCTTTCTTTCATAGAAATCTATTTTTGAGAATACCATCCCAAGCTGTGAGTAAAATACAAGCTATCTGGTTTAGAATTGGTTGTCTTAGTATGGGGTTGACAAAAATAACCAGTCCCTGTGCATTCTTAGTAGTCAAAAAGAATATCAGCATGAGATGGTTTTGGGGTGCCTTGATAATTAGAAAGCATATAGGAAGGCCCCTAAGTCCAAGAGTGACTTTGATAGACATTCTGGGAATTTTATCTGAGAAAGTCATTAGTAGATGAAAAGCAGTCTTCTTTTGTAAGTGTATCTGTATTTCAAGCAAATATCCCATTCTTCAAACCTAATTCAACCACAGTTGTTCTTTGTCATCACTGTCTGTATGCCTTTCCCCGCCTCCTCCATCTCACATGGTTCTTTCTGACCTTTCAGATTCAGATATTAAAGACATCTGAGGTTACCCAGCACCTGCCTAGGGAGTGCCTTCCAGAAAACCTGGGTGGGTACATCAAAATTGACCTCGCCACTTGGAATTTCCAGTTCCTACCCCAGGTGAACGGCCACCCAGATCCCTTCGATGAGATCATCTTGTTCTCCCTACCTCCTGCCTTAGACTGGGACTCGGTACATGTTCCAGGTCCCCATGCCATGACCATCCAAGAGTTGGTAGACCATGTTAACACCAGGCAAAAACAAGGGATATATGAGGAGTATGAAGACATCCGTCGTGAAAACCCTGTTGGCACTTTTCACTGTTCCATGTAAGTAGTAAAGGTCTGGGTCAGCAATTGACTACCAAGATGCTTCTGGCAGGCACTGCTGCAGCTCCTTCTACTTCCTGTCTTTATCATCATCATTATTATTATTATTATTTTTGGTGGTACTGGGGTTTGAACTCAGGGCCTTGCCCTTGCTAGGTAGGATTGCTACCACCCCTGCCAGCCCTCCTTCCACTTCCTTAACAGGTTCTTCGTTGTGTTACAGAACTTCACTCTCATTTAAGTAATAAGTTGCTCTCATCCAGAAAGAAGTATCTCCTGCTTTGGTTTTTGTTGCCAATATCCTATGCATTGACATTTCTGAAGGTCTTTGGTACCAACAGAAGAACCCTATAACAATAGAAATATCTGGATATTTTCCCACAAGGCAAGCACTTTTTATAAAAGGCTCAAAATGTAGTAAACCACTCCATCTTGAAAAGAAGGGTGCCGGTACATTTAAAAGAATTGAGGCAGAAAGAAAGAAGAGTTGCCTCTTCGGAACTTAGCCTCTTGGGATTTTCCTTCTGCCTAAATCCTACCCCAAAATCATCTGGCTCATAACTACTTGATAACTTTTCTTGGCAATACAGCATAAATTATGTTGCTCTCGTTTCTCTTACCATGTTTTTTTGTTTGTTTTTGTTTTTGAGATAGGGTGTCATTGTATAGCGTAGGCTGGACTGGAACTCAATATACTCTTGCCTTACCTCCTGAGTACTAGGATTATAGGCACGTGTCACCATGCTAGAATTTCACACCAAGTTTTAATTGGCTGCAGCAGAAATCTCTCTAATTAGTGAGCTCTTTCTGTTGGAAATTAAGGAAGTTGTCCCAGTGGGTCCCTCAAGTTCCAAGTTAGCCAAAAGTTCCCTTTTGTGAGTGATGCAGTTATTTCTCTTATCTGCACCTTAGTTTCTCTGTTTTCTTCCCCCCTTTTGGAATGTGTAACTGTAAGACTCCATGATTCTGTGAGCATCTTTTCTGCTCAGAATTCTGACCAAAAGATAGGGCAGAAAGAAAGAGAGGCAATTAAGAAAGAATCCAGTAAACAGAGCAAGAACACAAAGGAGTAGCTGCACATGTAGCTCAGTGGTACAAGTCTTCGCTGGCATGCACAAGGCCCTGGGTTTGATCCTCTGAGGAGAAAGGTAAAGCAGAGCAAATATTAAGAAGAGGGAGTGTCCTTTTCTCCCGCACAGCTTTGTTTCCTCCCTGCCAGCTCAAGACCTCTATTTACACCTAATCTCTTTCCCAACCAGAGCACTTTTTACTCCCCTAGTCTTGAATCAAGGAGGTAACTTGGAGCGAGGAGGAGCACACTTTTTTGGGGGCATTCCTGACAACCTATCACACATACCTCTCTCCTATTACCTCCCCATCTTTAACCCTTGCACCATAAATATGTTCTCCATTACTTTAATTTTGTGCTTTTCAGAATGCTGTTATATAAATGGAACCATACTCCATAACGATGAAATGGTTGTTTTCCTCTAGGCATAATTCTCTGGATATTCACACAGTTCACATGTACAGTAGTTGGCTCCTTTTTATTGCTGAGTAGTATTTTGTAGTACTAATGTAACAGTTTAACCACTCACCTGTTAAAGGAGGTGATGTTTTCAGTTTTTGGCTATTTCAAGAAAGTTATTATGAATAATTGTTTCTATGTTTTCTAAAAATGTAATTTCTACATTTGGCATTAATATCCAGGAATGCAGGCTAGCTCATATAGTAATTGTATGTTTAGCTTTTATAAGAAATTGCCCAACTGTTTTCCAGGTTGGCTGTACCAATCTGTAGTCTCACCAGCAATGTATGAGTAATCTAGTTTCTTTGCATCCTTACCAGCATTTGGTGGCATCACTATTTTTTATTTTAGCTATTGTGACAGGTCTCTCATGAGATCTCATTGTGGTTTTAGTTTGCATTTCCCGAATGGTTACTGATGTTGATTTATGAACATCTATTTGTAAAGTATCTTTTGCGCTTTTTTTGAACTGTTAAGATTTGAGAGTCCTTTAAATATTCTAGATAATGGTTCTCTATTGGATTTATGGTTTGGGAGTATTTTCTTCCATTCTGTAGCTTGTCTTTTTCATTTTCTTTTGACAATTTGAACTCAGGACTTTGTGCTTGGTAGTCAGGTGTTCTACCACTTTAGCCACACTTGGTTATTTTCTTGAGATAGGGTCTCATGTTTTTGCCCTGGACTTCAGTCCTTCCGTTTGGCTTCCCACATAGCTGGGATGGCAGGTGCACACTACCACGCCCAGCTAATTGATTGAGATGGTCTTGCTAAATTTTTACCTTGAACTGTGATTCTCCTGTTTTTTCTTTTTAACCAAAAAAATTTTATAGTCTTATATTTTACATTTAAGTCTGTGGTCCAGTTGGAATTTAACTTTTTGTATAAATTGGAAGGTTTAGGTTGATAATCATTTTATTTATTCTGCCATTGGATGAAGGTATAGACAAGAACAGAGTATGACACAACAAACACCTATGCTCTTCTCAGCAGAATTGACATTGACAGTTATTAGTATTTTGTCATATGTACTTCAAATCTTTTTTATTATGTAAAAGAAAGAATTCATTATAAAGCTAAAATCCCTTCTTATCCTCACTGCCAGTTTTCTTTTCTTCCCACAAGCAGCTACTAGTATGAATATGTTATATTTCTTTACAGTCTACACAGTATAGGAACAACATAGTGTATTTTTATGGTTGGTCTTTGTGAATTTTTTTTGTTTTCAGTCATTAATATATGTAAATAATTTTTTCAAAGCCAAAGAGTATGACAAAAAAAGCATTGGCAAAACACACGGCAGTCTCTTGTCCTACTTTAGTCTGCTCCCTGTAGCCATCCGCTTTCATTGCATGTAGCTGTTTCTCCTGGTACTACTTCTGTGATTTTGAATTCAGATGGTTATAATGCTCCTTTATTAATTTTTATTGTAGGTGAACATTTAACTCTTACTCCATGTCTCCATTTCCAATTACATTTTGACTTTTCCCAATATAATTATGTCACAATTCTTTTTTTTTTTTTTTGCGCAATATTGGGGCTTGAACTCAGGGCCTATACCTTGAGCCACTCCACCAGCCCTTTTTTGGGATGGGTTTTTTTTTAGATAGGATCTCATGAACTATTTCCCTGTGCTGGCTTTGAGCCAGGATCCTCCTGATCTCTGCATCCTCAGTAGCTAGGATTACAGGTGTAAGACACTGGTGCCCAGTTTGTCACAATTTTTAATTGAATGAAGTCATTGTTTACATTTTTTATGACTAAAGTTTTTTGGTTTTTTTGAGACAGGGTCTTGCTTTGTAGTCTAGGCTGCCCTTGAACTTTATAGCGCGATGCCCGCTTCAGGCTTTTGAGTGCTGGGATTATAGATATGCACTGTCATGTGCAGATAGTAATCTTTTTCTGTTTAAAAGTTTCACAGTGGTGTGCCCTAGTGTGGATGTTGTTTTGTTTTTCCTTTATGTTATGTTGAGTGCTTAGTAGGGTCTTTACTGTGAAAGACTACGACCTTCAAATCTAGGTGTTTTTTATTTTTTTTTATGGTGCTGGGAATCAAAACCAGGGCCTTGTGCATGCTAGGCAAGCCTCCACCAACCCTTTCTGGTGATGGATTTTTTTTGAGATAGGGTCTTGAGAACTATTTGCCTTGGCTGGCTTCGAACCATGATCCTCCTGATCTCTCCCTCCTGAGTAGCTAGTATTACAGGTATGAGACACTGGTGCCCAGCTTAATGCTGTCTTTCTTACATTATATTACTGTTGCCTCTTTCTATAGGCTATTCCTAGAGTAGGAAATGACAGCATTTTCTTTCCCTAAAATGCATGGTAGTAAATATTTTAGATTGTGGACTTACGGTCTTTGAAGCATTCAGCACTGTCAATAGTTACATAAATGACTTTATTTACAAAACCACTGTCCATGTCATAGTTTGCTGACTTCTGTTCTGGAATGATTCCTTTATTTACTTATATTTTTCTAATACTTTTAATTGTTTTGCGTTTTATTTTGTATACTGGGGAATGTCTTCAACTTTCTCTTTCATCTTGAAATTCCTGTTTTGGATTCTTCTCCCCGCCCCTCCAGGTCTGGTGATCGAACTGAGAGCCTCACACATGCTAGGCAAGTGCTCTACCCTGAAATATACTCCCAGCCCCAAATATAATTTATAATTTCCAAGAGCTTTTCTTTTCTGTTCCTTTTTCAAAGCATCCTATTCTTATTTCTTATATAATGGTATCATCTCTTTTTTCTGAGAATATTATAGCCTTTTATAAGTCACTTTCTCTTATTGGCTCTCCTTCATGCTTTGTTTCCTGTGTATTTGAATTAGTCCCCTTTGTTAGGGACTTTCCTGATTACCTGGAGATCCTTGGTTTTTAATTCATACTTAGGAATGGGATCCTTAAGAACTGCTTAGAGCTGGACCCCTATCTTGAAAAACCCTTTTCAAAAATAAGGCTGGTGGAGTGGCTCAAGTTGAAGGCCCTGAGTTCAAGCAAAAAAAAAAAAATATATATATATATATATGACTGCTGCTTAGAGCTCTGTTTGCATGGATGAGCTTCAAAATAAAATGATGAAAAAGCCTGGAACCAGTGTTCACATCCTTAATCCTAGCTACTTGGGAGACTATTGAGATCAGGAGGATCATAGTTCGAAACCACTTTGGCAAATAGTTCGTGAGACCCCTATATCCAAAATAACCAGAACAAAATGGATTGGAGATCTGGCTAAAGATGAAGAGTGCTTGCTCTGCAAACATGAAGCCCTGAGTTCAAACCCCAGTCTCACCAAAATAAATAAATAAAAGATTGAACAGCTAGCTTATTGTTAGTATATTTCAAAAGACAGACTTCTTTTACTGGTGGCTAGTCAGTAGTCCAGGTAAGAGTTCTTTGACCTCTGTCTTGGTGGAATCCAAGCCTGGATGTAAATGTAGGATAGGATGGAGAGAATAGGGCAGGGATTCTACCTATGTGTCATTTAGATTTTCACTTATTTTCCCATTTGCAGCCTTGCCCCCTGCCCCTTGTCTTTCAGAGAGAGGGAATTTTGAGGATGAGTCATTTTATCTTTCTAGGCACTTCCTGGGTCCTAGCTTCCTGCATTTGGCCAAGTCAACCAAAAATGTTCTCACCTGCTTTTTCTGCCAAAACAGGTTGAAATCTCTTTCTGATGTCTCCACTGTTACTTTGTACTGCATAGTTCCTTTTTCTCATTTTACTGAGACTTGCATTTAAGAGATTTATTTTGACTATCTTTTGAGAAATGAGTGGTAGAAATTTTAATCTGCAGTTAGATTTTGGTAGATGCTATATTTCATTTTTTCTCTACCTGCTTCTATTACATGCTCATCATTTCTGTCTGAGGACAGTGGTTGTTACTGTCCTTATATGTCTACTGGTATTCTGATCATAACCTCCAAGAACATTGTGGCTTTCCCTAAAGCTCTCCTCTTCTCTGAGCCCTCTTTAGAATTGCCCTTAATGCTCCTTTCACATCAGGTTAGGGTTTTTCTAGCATGGACTTCCAGATTCTTCCAGCTTCTGCCCCTTAACCAGTTCCAAAGCTGCTTCCATATTTTTAGATATTTGTTATAATGAATCTCACTTAACAGTACCAACTGCTATCTTAGACCATTCAGAGCTCACTCTTTCTTTTGAAAAGAAATGCCTTTATTTTCCTAATACTTACAAAAATATTAAATTAGAGCTGCTGGGGGTTGTAGCATCCGTGAGGCTCTAGATTCAATCCCTAGTAGCCAAGCAAACAAAGAAAAGTAATGTTAAATGATAGGGAACTGTGGAGACTTGAGAGTAACAAAACTCTCCTGTTTCTACCCCCAACAATTGCTGACATGCAGTTTTGCATTGCTAAACTTTGTACATAGACTCTGTCTGTGCCTTTTCTTTATTCTAGTTTACCTTTCATTTCCTTCAGGTCTCCAGGAAACTTAGAGAAGAACCGCTATGGGGATGTACCTTGCCTGGACCAAACTAGAGTGAAGCTGACAAAACGAAGTGGCCACACTCAGGTAGACAGATAAATGTTAATCTTTTTGGAGCACTGTGGGAAATTAAACCTCCTCCAAAGTGAAACTAAGCTATAATACTATAGTAGAATGAAAATGGACTGTGAGGTGGGTACCTGTGGTTTATGCCTGTAATCCTAGCTACTTGGGAGGCTGAAATCAGGAGGATCACAGTTCAAGACCAGCCCAAGCAAATAGCTCTCAAAATCCCATCTGCAAAATGAACTGGAGGTGAACTCCAGTTCACCAAAATGAACTCAGGCATAGAGTTCCTGCTTTGCAAGCACGAAGCCCTTAGTTCAAACCCCACAGTTCCACCAAAAAAAAAAAAAAAAAAAACTGAAGCCTGAGAGAGAGAAGGGTTGAGTTCTCATTTTGCTATGTAACAGTCTGTGACCATAGAAAAGTCCCTAAATGCCCATCTGACAATACTGAGTGGGGAGTAAGTGAAATTCTTTATGTGACTGCTGATAGTACAAGGTCTAGTATATTGTAGGTGCTTTCTAAATGTTAAATTATTTCTCCTTTTACTCCTTCCTTGTAAAAATATGACCATACGCATCTCAATTGGTGAACGTATATGCATCAATACAAAGTAGCTTTAATATAAGTGACTTGATTTTCCATCTATATCTAAAAAATATTGTGGAAAAAAAACCGTGGACAACTAGTATATATATATAAATGTCTAGGGATATAGATGAAATGACCAGATGATAATATTATTTTGTGTATTAACTTGTTTGTATCTAAACATATTAAACCACATATGTAATACACATGTGTAATGTTTATTAATTATTATTATTATTACTTTTTGCTTTGTTTTGGGGATAGGTTCTCACTGTTTAGCCCAGGCAGGCCTCAAGTTTGTAATCCTGCCTCAGCCTGTAATCCTTCTGCTTGTAGTGCTGGGATTACAGGCATGTTGTCACCATGCCCAACATCCATCTCTCTTGATCCTACTGTTCCAGATGCATAAATTGAATTCACGCTTGCAGAGGGTTTTCCTCCAGGAGCATTAGCTAAATGTCACCACTCCAGCACAGTGTTTCAATTTTGTTAGCCTGAATTAACGGATGTTGGCAGAGATCTTGTGAATACATGTAATAAAAGTGATATGGAATATAGGTGTGCTGCCACAAAGCTGTAATCCCAGCACTAAGGAGGCTGAGGCAGGAGGATTATGTGTTCAAGGTGTGATTGACCTACATAGTGTGTTCAAGACCAGCCTGAGCTACAAAAAAAAGCATTGTTGAAGTAAATAAAACTGAGGACATAGGGAAGTAGGAGAAGACTCTGGAAGAGAGGGAGTTAGAAGCTGTTCATTGATACAGCTTTGAGAACTGGAAGTTGCCATGTGTTAATTCAGTAATAATAGAGTCTGGATATTGGCTTAGCCTGATGATAAGATGCAGGTTTCCCTTCTGCAGTCACCTTGCGTTTTGTGAATAGCAGGATGGATGGGAAATTCCTGCTTAGCTTGCTTGGCTTGCCTCCCATTTGGACTTTTGCTATAGTGCTACAAGCCCTAATGGATTCTTATTTTGTAAATAGCAGCTTTGTTGAAATGTAATTCACAGACCACACTGTTCATGCATTTAAAGTATACAGGTCAGTGATTTTCAATATACTCAGAGTTGTACAACCGTCATCACAGTCAATCTTAGGATATTTTTATTGCCCTGTAACTTCAGCAGTCATTCCCTATTTTCTTCTACCCCACTCTAATCTTTTTGTTTTTATGAGTTGCTAAGGATCGAACCCAGGACCTCATGCATGCTAGGCAAGTGTCTAGCTTTTTGTCCAGCTGGCTTGGACTGTAATCCTCCTATTTTACACTTGCCACTATAGCTGGAATGACAGCCACAGGCCACTACACCCATCCTTTTCTGCTGAGATGGAGTCTCTTTTTTTTTTTTCGTGCAATTCTGGGGTTTGAACTCAGGACTTCACACTTAAAAGGTAGGCATTCTGTTGCTTAAATTACACCTCCAGCCCTACTCCTGCTGGCCTGGAATCACAGTCCTCCCAATCTCAGTGTGGCTTGTCTTTTTTTTTTAGGAATGGAATTGACGGATCGTATGGTAATTCTCTTTGACCATTCACAGAACTGCCAGACTGTTTTCTGTTTCCAACAGTGTGAATGAGAGTTCAATTTCTCCACATCCTTGTCAACACTTGTTTTTGTCTTTTTTAACCTGTATTATCACAGTGAATGGATATGAGGTGGTATCTCACTGTAGTCTTGTGCATTTCCCTGCTGGCTAACAGTGCTGAGCATCTTTCCATTTGCTTGTTGGCCATCTATATGTCTTCTTTGGAAGATTGTCTCTTTCACCAGTTTCAAACTGGATTGTCTTTTTATTATTGAGTTGTAAGAGTTCTTTATACAAGTTCCTTATCAAGTATATGGACTCTGTGGATTAGCTTTTTATGTTCTTGATGGTATCCTTTGAAGTTCAAAAGTTTTAAATTTTAATGTAGTCTTGTTTATGTTTTTTCTTTTGTTCCCTTGTGACTTCAGTGCATATTTAAGAAATCTTTGCATAACCCAGAGTCACAAAGATTTGCCCTATATTTTCTTCTAAGTATTTTATACTTTTATTCTCTTATATTAGATCTTTGATCCATTTTAAGTTTTTTTTTTCTTGAAACAGGGTCTCCTAGATTGGCTTTGATCTGACTTTGTAGTTCAGACTGGCCTCAAACTTGTGATTCTCCTGTCTCTGCCACTCGAATGTTGGGATTCCAGGCATGTGCTACCCTACACAGCTCATTTAGAGTTAATTTTTTATGTATGGTATGAAGAAAGGATCAATTTGATTTTTCTACATGTAGATACCTGTTGTCCCAGTACCATTCATTGAAATGACATTTTGAATTGTCCCTTTCACTCATTTTCTGCCTGACAAGAATATCTACACTTTGAGTTGTACTTACCCAGCACATCATTTTCTGATCCAAATGGTATATTCTTAAACCTGCAATAATGTGTCCTTTTTATCATTAGACAGATTATATCAATGCCAGTTTCATGGATGGCTACAAGCAGAAGAACGCTTACATTGGTACACAAGGTGGGTTGATCTTGCCCTCACATGTTGACTTTATGCCATCGACTTACGGTTCCTTTGCTGGATGATGACATTATTAATTTTTTTTGCAGTGGTAGGAATTGAACCCAGGGTCGTATACATGCTAGCCAGGTTTTCTACTGAGTCTATACTGAGCTACACTCCTAGCTCAATGGCATAATTTTTAAAAGAAATATAACTTGTGTTGATGTCGAGGTCATTAGAACCTGGCCTTTCATAAAGGATGGTGGTCGTTGAGGCAGCCAGATGATAAGTACAGAGTTTTGGTACAAGGTGTGCCTAGAAACTCACTGCAGATCTGTAAAGTGGAAATTTAAACCCAGAATGCTATCTGCCTGTAAGTTTTTGGACTTCATTTTAGTATGGCCAATCAAGGGAGCAGGGCATCAGAACTCAGCAGTCCATGACATACTCTTAAGTCCAATAAGAAGCCAGGAATGGCAAAGATTGATTCCAATTTAGGAATGAGTGCTGCTGTCCTAAGGCGCCTTTGCTGGACTCTTAGCCATCACAGAGCACTCCAGAAAGTGTTCTGATGTTGGTAGATTGTACTGAGTTTCTCCTAGTACTGGAGTCTAGGAGGAATCAGATGGAGTTTTCTGTATATACGTCTATGGAACCGTGTTCCCTCTGACCTGGCCTCTGACCATCTTAAGAATACCACAATACCTTCAAAGACATTGGGAAGAGGCCAGTGATACAGCTCAGTGGTTGAGTGCATGTGTGAGGCATTGGGTTCAATCCCCAGCACTAAAATAAAACGAAGAAGAAGGTGGGAGGGAATTATAGCACAAGTAGACCACACAGGCCACCATAGGAACTTAAGGCTCTGTGACCTTTGCAAATCACAAGATAGCTGCCACATATCTCCTTAATCAAGTGATCAATCTTAGTATTGCCAATAAAGGTAGTATTTACAAAGGTAATAATCGCAGAAGGATTTTGTTGATTGATTGATTGATTGACATTGGAGATTGAACCTGGGGCCTTACACATGCTAGGCAAATGTCCTACCACTGAGCTATAGCCGCAACCCTACAAAAGGATATTCTGTGCCTCCTGATGAGAAATAGATGTCATCTGTATTGTCTCTTCCCAGTTTTAAGATCCAAATCTTGGAGAGAATTTACCTAGCATGTACAACGCTCTGGGTTGTATACCTACCACCTAAAAAAGAAAAAGGAGAATAAAAAAATTGAATCTAATCATGAGAAACAAACCAAAAAATTGTGGGGCATACTACAAAAAACAATTACAACAAAATAACTGGCTCAAGTTGGGCATCTTGGTGCATGCCTGTAATCCCACACTCAGAGACTGAAGCAGGAGGATTATGAGTTTGAGGCCAGCCTGGGTGACGAAGTGAGACACTCTCTCAAAAAGAGAAAGAGAAAAAGAAAAACTGGTTAGACTCTTCAAAGTTACTAAACTTACTGCCATGAAAAACAAAAAAAGGCATGGAACTGTTCTAGATTAAAGAAGACTAAAGAGATAACTAAAGGCAACATGTGATTTGTGATTGAATCCTCAATAGGGAGAAAAAAGTATTAAGGACAAATTATTGGAACAGTTAGAGCCTTTGTGTGAGCTACTGTTGTACCAGTGTTTAACTGGCTCAGTCCCATAATAGTATTGTTCTATGGGGAGAATACCTGTGGTCTCCTAATAGTTAGTTGCTCAGGTGTTTAGAAGTGAAGTGTTACACTGTCTGCTATCTTTTTTTTTTTTTTAATGATAAGAATACTTGAGATCTACCTTCTTAATTTTTTTGTTGTTGTTGGTACTGGAGTTTGAACTCATGGCCTGTAGCTTGCTAGGCAAGTACTCTACAACTTGAGGCACGCCCCCAGCCCTTTTTGTTTATATGTGTATATGAGGATAATGCATATCCATTGTGGAATAGTTAGAAAATTAATATGAAAATCACTCATAACCCCAGAATCCAGAGGTAATGTTAACATTTTGCAGCATCTCCTCCTAGATCTTTTCCTATATATACATATAGATAAAGGCAAATAAATATACAACATTTACTTTTTTCTAAATATGAATTTCTTTTCTACCTTATGAATACCTTCATGGCAAAAATATAAATCTTACAACATTGACTTTATCGACTGCATAAATCATAGGCATGCTATAATTTAATGAGTCTCCTCTCTTTTTTTTTTTTTTTTTTTTTAACTTTAATTTTTTTTTTTGCAGTACAGGGGCTTGAACTCAGGGCCTACACCTTGAGCCACTCCACCAGCCCTTTTTATGATCGATTTTATTGATATGTCCTGAGCAGCTAGGATTACAGGTGTAAGCCACTGGAGCCCGACTTTAATCTTTTCTCGTTGGACATTTGCTTATTTGTAGGACCTTACATACTTTAGCAGTGTCTACTTTTGCAAAGAGGGAATTTTTTTTTTTTTTTTTTTTTTTTTTGTGTGTGTGATATGGGGTTTGAACTCAGGGCCTTCACCCTCAGCCACTCCACCAGCCCCATTTTTGTGATGAGTTTTTTCGAGATAGGGTCTCATGAACTATTTACCTGGGTTGGCTTTGAACCGCAGTCCTCCTGATCTCTGCTTCCTGCATAGCTAGGATTACAGGCATAAGCCACCAGCGCCCGGCAAGAGGGTATTCTAATATCAGAAGATACTAGTGCTTGCTAAAAGACTTTAACAAAAATAGTAGTGGGGCCAGGCGTCCATGGCTTACTCCTGTAATGGTAATTACTTGGGAGGCAGAGATCAGGAGGATCGAGGTTCAAAGCTAGCCCAGGCCAATAGTTACTAAGACCCTACCTTGAAAATACCCAACACAAAGAAGGGCTGGTGGAATGGCTCAAGTGGTAGAGCACCTACTTACCAAGCATGAGGCTCTGAGTTCAAACCCTAGTACTGCCCACCACCCAAAAAAATAGTAGTAGGACTAGTGGGCTTTTAGGCCCATATCAACCCACAATACTGACTGTCCTGATTCCCTAAGAGCAGAGAGGGGGACTGGGAAAGTACAAGGAATTATCCTGAGTTGTTTGTTACTCTTTGATTGAAAGGGAGTTGGTGGTCCATAAGTATCAGCAGATTTGTTGCAGTCAGGCATGGCTTGTGATCCCAGCTATTTGGGAGGCTGAGGCAGGAGGATCATTAGTTGGAAGACAACCTGGGCAGCCTAGGAAGACTCCATCTCGTAAGGAAAAAGAAAACAAAATAAAAAGAACAACAACAAAAAACCACAACAGATCTATTGCTGAGACTCATCCTTGTGCAGGTTTTGACTATAAAATGACTTTACAAATGACACTTGCTCTCAAGACCATGTTAATGGAGGCATCAATTTACATAAAGTAAGTGACTGGCATAAGATTGTATAATTTAAGTGGTTAAACTGTTTCGAACCAGCTGTGCCATCAACATCTCAGAGGAGGCCAGGTGCTGGCGGCACACGCCTGTAACCCTAGAAGAGCTTCAGAGGCAGTGATTGGGAGGACTGCAGTTCAAGGCCAGCCTAGGCAAAAAATTCATGAGACCCCATCTCAACCAATATCTGGGTATAGTGGCACGCTTCCATCATCCTAGCTATAGGAGGCTGAGATCGGGAGGACCGTGGTCCAGGCCAGCCTGGGAAAAAAGTTTATTGTCAGGCACTAGTGGCTCACGCCTGTAATCCCAGCTACTCAGGAGGCAGAGATCAGGAGGATCACAGTTCGAAGCCATCCCAGGCAAATAGTTCATGAGACCCTATCTCAAAAAACCCTATCACAAAAACTTGGGCTGGTGGAGTGGCTTAATGTGAAGGCCCTGAGTTCAAGCCCCAGTACTGCCAAAAAAAAAAAAAAAGTTTGAGTCGCCATATCAACAGAAAAAGCTGTGTGTAGTGGTGTGCACCTTCATCCCAGTTACCTGGGAAAGCAGAAATAGCAGGCTGTCCAGGCTGATCCAGGCCAAAAGTAAGACCCTATCTCAAAAATTAGCAGAGCAAAAAAGACTTGGAGGCATGGCTGAAGTGCCAGAACACTTGCCTTGCAAAGAGCTCAGAAGAGAAAAGTCCATTGAGTATGGTGGTCAGAGAGAGCTTTGAGGAAAAAATAACATTTGAAAAGAGATAGAAAATGAATGACATTGGAGGTAGGGAAACAATTTGAGCAAAGGAATGGAGGCAGAAGCAATTTTTTTTGAAGGATTAAATTGTTGGGGTTATCCAGAATATGGAAGGGAAAGAGACCTATTGAGAAAAGTTAACTAGAATGATACTAGTCAGTCTGACAAAAGATGATGTGGTCCTCATAGCAGTGAAATTGGATAGGAAGAACAGGACAAGGAGAAGGTGGGGGCAAAAGAACAAAGGCAAAAACATTTCAGTGTCTCTAGGAATAGTTGACTAAATGCTTCAGGGAGAGGAAGGAAATGAGTAAGTCAGAGTTGACTTCAACTTTTTAAGACTGAATAATTAAGAATGCCAGTTTTGTTAGCAGAGATGAGAAAGTTGGAAAATACAACTAATTTTGCAGGAGAAAACTCAGTTGCAAACAGAATCTGAGACAATGGGACAGGATAGTGGTCTAGTAGGCAGCCTTTTATTATAAGGCTGAGGTATAGGTGAGATGGAAACAGCTAGAGACAGTACTCAGTTGATTCTGTCATCATTAACATGCTGGCTGAGGCTGTGATGCTCATGCTCCGAGAGGGTATCCAACAGTGCTTCCTGCAGTATCCTCCGTATGTCTCACCTGAACGTATTGTAAAGTGCACTGTCTCTATTTCTAATATTCTTACACACCGAGTTGATACAGTTGATTCAAGGAGGCCCTGAATAGCATAAATGTGTGACAAGAAGAACAGAGAATTGGCACCTGTGTTTTAGAATTAGTATTTGAAAGAAAAACAGAGGAGCTTCAGAAGAAGCTCCCAGGGTCATGTTCTTTACCATTTCTTTCATTCCCAGGCCCTTTGGAGAACACCTATCGTGACTTCTGGCTTATGGTGTGGGAGCAGAAAGTATTGGTGATTGTCATGACCACCCGGTGAGTTAATCCCCATAACACTTCTTTTTTTTTGGTCTGTGTGGTGATTATACCCAGAACTTTGTGTGTGCTAGGCAAGTGGTCTACTAAGCTACAGCCTTGGCCTGAGTAATCTTCTGTCCCACTGATTACCATACCCACTGACCCCAAGCATGGATGATTTAAGAAAGAATTACTTGACAGGTGCTGGTGGCTCATGCTTATAATCCTAGCTACTTGGAAGGCAAGAGATCAGGAGGATCACAGTTCAAAACCAGCCCAGGCAAATAGTTTCAGGGATCTTATCTCAAAAAATACCCAACCCAAAACAGGGCTGGAGAAGTGGCTCAAGAGGTAGAGCGCCTGCCTCGCAATTGTGAGGCCCTGAGTTCAAACCCCATTCCTGCCAAAAAAAACAAAACAAAAAAAAAAAAAAGGAATTTCTTGTGCTGGAGGTATGGCTCACACAATAGAGAACCTGTCTAACACATGCGAAGTCCTGAGTTCAAACCCTCGTGTTGCCATGAATTTCTGGAAACAGTAAAGATCAGGAAAGGCATTTTTCTTAGCAGATCTATAGATAACGTATTGGGATATAGTGGAGGTAGTTAAATCTAACTCATTAAAGTTTTAATCCATGGCCCTGTGCCAGTTATAGCCTATTCTGAGGTTCTGGCCTTATCCACTAAAGGAAGTACTGGGAGCAGTTCACCTTTAATCTGGCCCCTGTTTTCAGAGGGGAGCTGTCTTCCTAGCAACTGCAATAACCAGTTCCCCTTTGCTATCCATTTCCTGCTACTTTTTACTGTTTTTCTGCTCATTCATATTTCTATCTGTAGGAGAACAGAAAAAAAGAGGTGATACATAATGAGTCAGGCAGAAAGTTCTGATTTTTTTTTTTTTTTTTTTTTGGTAGTACTGGGGTTTGAACTCAGGGCCTTATGGTTGGTAGGCAAGTGTTCTACCACTTGATCCACTCCATTAGGCTAGGCAGGAAGTTCTGAATGAAGGAATGTTTTTGAAATCTTTGGCCTACAAGTCTTCCAAATTTAAGGAATTACCTGTTTCATTAGTATTATCATTAGCATTATAACCTATTTCAGATGAGGAAGGAAAAGAAAAGAATGTTTGCTTAATTCCCACCTCGCAGTACTTGGGGTCGCTGAAAAGTGATGGGGAGGACATAGGCCTCTACACAAACCTCCCACTAGCATCCAGGCGCTGTGTTAGCCAAGGGACCCATATTGGAGGAGAGAATGAGCCAAGGAGTTCTCTCTGACCCACCATATTTTCTGTACTGTCTTTCGTTGTCCATCAGTACTTATTGCTGATAAATGAGAACTACCATAAAATATCAGAAAAGAGATGAAGTGATGTTGTAAGCATACCATGAATGTCTGCTAAATCAGTTCATGTAGGAACTTTAGCTGTTGTTACATCTGTTTAGAATGAAGAGGTTCCTTTGTTTCCTGCCAAGAGTCAGTGTTCTAAGTTGGAAGCAATGCAGGACATGATTTTGCTACTGTTGAGTATAGCAAATGATGGTGGGGGTGGGGGAAAACATGCTTACTGCTGGTTGAGGAAGGATGGGGGCTTATCTTGCTCTGGGGGCTTATCTTGCTCTGTTTGTCTTTAGCTTTGAGGAAGGTGGCAGGAGAAAGTGTGGCCAGTACTGGCCTTTAGAAAAAGAATCACGGATCCGATTTGGCTTCCTCACGGTGACCAATTTAGGTGTGGAGAACATGAACCATTATAAAAAAACAACTCTAGAAATTCACAACACAGAGGTAAATGCGGGTTTCTATTTTCTTGCATTTTAAAGCTGGGGAGAACCTTTCCTATAAAGAAAAGCTCAAGAGGGAATAGTCAGGATTTCAGGAAGGTTGTAAGCTGCTTTAGGTTTCCTGGGAACAAGATGAGGAAATTGAACCAAGAACCAATATGGTTGTATTATTTTATCATAACAGTTGAGTTACATGAGAGTAAAACTTTCAGCATTAGGAATTTGTACTTAACTTCCCCCTGCCCCGCCCCCAGTGCTGGGGATCAAACCCAGGGCCTCATGTATGCTCGGCAAGCGCTCTACCACTGAGCCACATCCCCAGCCCTACCCTTAGGAATCTGGATCCTAAGATGGAAGTGGTAGTACACATCTGTAATCCCAGCACTTAGGAGGCTGACCAAGGAGGATTGAGTTTGAAGCCTCAACAGAAAAATCTGGATTCTGCAATCTAGAGTTTTCTATGTTTCAAACATTTATCCCTTCCTTTGGGTTTGCAGTAGAGAAGCAATTGTGGAGAAAATTTAGTGGTAGATAAGAGCCTTGGTGGTAGGGATACTTAAGTGTTGAGAATCCAGAAAAGTCCAAGAAGTCAGGGCAGGGAGACATGACCTCATTAACTTTTGTTTCTTTTCTCATCTAAGGAGCGGCAGAAACGCCAGGTGACCCATTTCCAGTTTCTGAGCTGGCCAGATTATGGTGTCCCTTCTTCTGCAGCTTCCCTCATTGACTTCCTGAGAGTGGTCAGAAACCAGCAGAGCCTGGCTGTCAGCAGCATGGGATCACGCTCCAAAGGGCAATCCCCTGATCCACCCATTGTGGTCCATTGCAGTGCAGGCATTGGCAGGACAGGTAATGCACCTGACACCACTCTTAGTGCATCCGGAGGCAGTAGGGGTGGGGGAAAAGAACAAAACTGTTAGATGGCATCTGTGTTTGGAAAAGGAAGTTGTTTCATCCCTAGATGGTAAATTACTACAAAAATCCCTTTAATCCCTAGCTGTAGGAATACCATATTCCTGCTGCCAGAATATGTACTTCACAAACCAAGTCCTCTGGGGGTTCTTATTTTATACATCCCATCACCATGGTTTTCTTCTAACCCTTCTATCTTGTCTTCATCATTATTGTGAGTGCACCAGAGAGCTTAGCTGTGCTGCTGCTCCCCTTCCCATCCCCTTCTCCCAAGGGACCTCTCCACCCTGTGCTGTGTTTTTCATTCTGGAGCCAGTTAGCAGCTTTGGCCTTAAGGGGATGTACATTGCAAGAACTGTTGGCCTTACTAGTTCAGAGGTCGCTTTGGGACAAATGGGAAGAGCAGATTTGTGTTAGGCCTCTGTGGAAAAGATACAAAATTTCTAGAAATTGGGTGTGGGAGTGCTGTCAACCAGACTGGGATTGAAGCAGGAAGTTTTTCTGCATCACTTACCCGTTTATTCCTGTTACCCTGTGGAGAGAGGCCTTGCCCTGAGAGACAAGAGGCCTTCTCATTTCTCTGGCCTTAGCACTCTGTGACCACTTCTTTCTTGCTCTTTCTGGCCTAAGGCAGAAACCAGCACGTTGCCTTTGAATTCACTCAGCCCCTACCTGGGTTATATGGTAGAACAAGGAAGATAAGGAGGGAGGTTCACCAGATATGACCATTTCCTTCTTTTTTTTCAGGTACTTTCTGCTCATTGGACATCTGCCTGGCACAGCTGGAAGAGCTTGGCACCCTTAATGTGTTTCAGACGGTGTCACGCATGAGGACCCAGAGGGCTTTCAGCATCCAGACCCCTGAGCAGTACTATTTTTGTTACAAGGCCATCCTGGAGTTTGCAGAAAAGGAGGGCATGGTTCCCTCTAGCCAAAACCTGCTGGCCATGGAGGGTCAGTAACTGTCTCACAAATCTCCTAGCTGCTGGCCATCCTTCCTTAAACTACCCTGGACACTGCCAACCTATAGGTTGCCATCAGATATGCTGAATCCATGGATCGACCTCTCTAGTGTCTCCCAGCGCACGTGTGCACGCAAGGCAGCCTTTCCCTTTGGCTAGATAATGTGGTGAAATTGCCACTAGAAAGGGCCAGCATCAATGTGTTCTTAATTCCTAGCACCTGCTATCGAACTGTGCCTTATTAAAACCAAATTGTGGCTATTGATTTTTGCCAGGGGCCCCGAGGTAAGTGGGGATGGAACCTCCCTCCCCCTCCCCCAATGCCATTCTTCTTCTGGAGGTCTCCTCGCTCCCACTTCTTTCCTTTGCTAGGATTTGACAGGGAGGGTTGGTGAACCTTCACCTTCCTGCCCAGAGAGCTTGACCAAGTTCCATGTTTTAGAGATTGTCCTGAGTGCCAAGCACGTTTATACATAGGGCGTGTATTTCAGTCTTTTCTGTCATTTTGTGTGTGCGCGTGTGTGTATGTGCACTTATGTGTATGGATCCATATTACATGTGTATATAATATATATTGTATGTGATAATATGGTCATATTCTATAAATACATGTACACACAGATACTCTTTGTAAAAGTTCCTGGGGCTCCATGTTGCAGTTCAGCACCCCTTGTTTCTTGGGCCTTGCTGATTATCCTGGATGAGCTGGGGTTGGGATTGTGGCTCCTGTTGCCAGACAGCAGAGTGATGAACGAGGACACATACATATCTCCTCCAGATCCTGGATAGGCCTCATCCTTAAGTAATGTCTTCTTTCCCTATGAACTCTTTCTCTTGGAGCTAAGAATACTGGTTTGTGGTGACACTGGTATAAGTCAGCATGGATTGCCCTTTATCTAACAGATTTTCTGTTTACTTTGCTGATTTTGGAAACAGACTTCCACTGTGATTCCAGACCCTGTTTTTCCTTTCACTATCCTGAGAATAGGAGGCTCAGGAATAGAGACGAACTTAATGAGTAGCCAGAGTCACAATCAATTGGTACAAAGTCTTAGAAGGAAAGAGAGGAGCCCAGATGTGAGAGAGAGGAGCCAACTATGAGAATTCTTCCCTGGGAGGGCAAGCTGGTCCCCTTTTGCTGGAAGATTGCTTTCTGTTTACTGAGATGGCCATCAATTCCTGCCTGCTCTTCTGCCAGATCATAGACCTCAAATGGGTGGGAACCATGCTAGTGAAAAGCTTAACCCCATGGCTGGGTGGGATGGACCCTTGTAGTCACCCTTTGTTATCTATCTACTCAATCTGTCCTTGCCTTCTCCCAGCCCACCCAGCCTGATGTACCAGGAATGAAATCAAGAACTCATTACTCTACATTCCTATGAAAATAATCTGGAACCCCTAAACATTCTTCCCCCATTACAGAAAATGAGGTTGGCAGCTGATCAGACCTCAACAATTTTATACTGTAATATGATCTTTGTGTATATTCTTATTTTTTACAATCATTTCATTTTGTATTTAACACCAATGGACTGAGTCAGGTTCAGAAAATAATTGTAATGTTCATATTCAATATCTTACAGTGATACAGTTTTGTATTTACATATAAATATACCAACATGATCAAACCCTTTTAGCTTCATCAATTTAGCAGTCTTGGGCTGGGAAGGTGAGAAGGGGGGGGATCCAGGAGTTGGTATGGATGGATGGGGAGGCAAGGAGGGAATCAAGGCTTCAATATCCTTTTCTTCTTCTTCTTCTTCTTTTTTGCTTGTATTGGAGTTTGAACTCAGAGCCTTGCCCTTGCTAGGCAGGCACTCTACCGCTTGAGTCCGCACCCCAGCCCTTAGGCTTCAATATCTGAGACTCACTTCTGAGAGCCACCTCCTGTGTCTGTAGGCTGTAGCCCTAGCTTTGGACACAGGTACCAGCACCAGCTGAATGCTGTTCAGCTGGTGCTAAGCTCTGTTCTAGATGCTTTGTCCCCCATTCTCCAGTGAGATAGCATACTTCCCTCTGTTGTCTTCCCTTCCTTCATTTTTGCGTAGGTGAGGAAGGTGGGGTTCAGAGGGATGCAATGATTTGCTCTAGCACTGGGGCTCAAGTAGGTCTCGTCACTGCATCAGAAATGGAGTAGTGCTTTGTCCTTGGAGACTGAAGGTTTTTTGTTTGGTTGGTTTGTTTTAGGGAGAGGTTGCTTTCTTTTCTAGGTAAGTTGATCTTGAGCCTATACTCCTTATAGTGGAATAGAAAGGTGACAGGGTTGTGACTGATTCTCCTGGCATATGGTCTTCAGGTGTCATTCTCCTGGGAAAAATCCATAGATGTGGGCACATTAGCCTTTGCAGGAAGATCTTGAGCCATTTGCAACTGTCTCTCCAGAATGGAACCAGAAGTTTTGCTCTGGTTCCACATAGCTACTGCCTGTGGGCCAGTGACAGCCTATTTGAGGCAGTTCTGGCATGGAGTACAAATATTGGGATGATTCTGAAGTAACAGTAATGGCAGCTAACATTCACTGGATGTTTACTGTATCCCGGGTCCTATTTAGAGTACTTTCTCCATACTACCTCTTTCACCCTTAATAGCCACTTGAGGGTAGGTATTGCTATAAGAAAACAGACAGGCTCATGCCTGTCTGTTATCTTTGCTACTCAGGAGGCAAAGATCAGGAAGATCAAGGTTCAAAGCCAGCCTGGTCAAATAGTTTGTGAGATCTTATCTCTAAAAATACCCATCACAAAAACAGGGCTTTTGGAGTGACTCAAGGTATAAGCCTTGAGTTCAAACCCCATACTGCAAAAAAAGGGGAGGGGGGGAAGGGAAAGAGGAAGGGATGGGAGAGGAAGGGAAGGAAAAGAAAAGAAAAAGAAAATTGAGACACAGGAAGGTTAATTTGCTATAGCCAAGAACCTGGCCTCCAAATTCCTACTCTTAGACTAGATACCCTCCTGAGGATCCATCTCCTGATCTGCCAAAGAAATTTTCTTGCTTCTCTTATTTTAATCAAGAGCTAAAGTGTAGAGCAGATTAAGCCAGAACCTCTAAAATCTGAGAAATCAGAGTGGCCAAGGTGTAATATGTAGGAAACGGGATTAATGATAAAAGGTTTGAAGGAGGTAGCTTGTGTGTTTAAAGAGGCTTTAACCCAGCTGCCTGGTAAATTCAAAGTTAGGCACAAGTTCCTCATTGCAAATCCCTGGGCCTATCCTGAGTGAGTGACAAGATGACCGCAGTTTAGGAACAACTGTGTTAGGTCATGCTTCCAACTCTGGAAAGAGTCAGCCAGTTGATATATTCAGAGTTTTCAGTAAGGACTTGAGGAACGGGTTCAATAGTCTTACCCCGATTTTTAAGACAGAGTCTCATCCTGTTTCCAGGGCAGGTGTTATAAACTCCTTTAAGTGACCCTGCTGCCTCTGCTTCCCAACTGGCTGTGACTACAGGTATATAGCACCATACCCGGCTATTCATAACTTTTGCCAATGTGAGCCTGCCTGTGCCAAGAGATATTAAAGGAAGTGAAAAGAAAGGCAGAGAAGGAACCCAGAATCTCTTCAGGAGGTCAAGGTTCTCAATAGGAGGCACAGTAAGCAAAGCAAGGGAAAAGTGTTCAGAGGGGAGAAGAAATCCTTGTGGGCCAGCAGAAGCTAGCAAAAAATCACTCTTAACATTCTTGTGATTTATAATTCTTTAAGCACAAGAGATAATCCCTTTGCCTTTCTCTTTTTGTGTTGCTGCCTTCATGCTGCCCCTCTGTTTAAGCTAGGATGGGACTCCTGAGGTGAAAGAGGCCAGTATCCTCAGCCTAGGAAGCCCACCATTGTCGTTATCTATGTGACAATATATACAAAGAGTACCACTTTTTCATGGAGGATTGGACTAAGTATTATGACCTTAGATATGGCTCCTGCCCCAAAGGGATGCTTCCTATCTCTAGGAGCAGTCATACACATATAGAAACTTGCAAACCTTGGCAGGTAGAAAAAGGCTTTCCTAGAGTGACTTTGAGAGCTTAACCACTCAACCTAAACAAGCCCTACCTTCCCTCTGTAAAAGGGGCTGTGCTATATGATCGTGCTGTGGGTCCTACTCCGTGCTCTTGTGGGACAGAGCAAACACTTTCAGAGAACTGTCAAGTTCTCCCTTTGGTTGGTCAGCTCCCACTTGTCCTCACCAGTTTTAGCTTGTTTTCAGTCTCTTTCATGCTATACTTCCTTATATTCCCCCAGTTCTCTTCTACTTGGCCCCCAGCTCAGATGTGAAGTAGGTCAGATCTCCCCTGTAATCTCCAAGACCAGTCCATAGCTTTTATTTCCCGTTTTCCTTGTGGGCAGACTGGGTGGGTGTCTGAGAACCAAAGAATGAACTGACCCAGGGTCCCAGAGCTCCGAACCTAGGTCTTAGATTTGTCTCAGGTGTTGGTCACTGTCATTATACACAGGCCAGAGTTATTCAGGAATGGGAGCTCCTACCAACATGGGAACCATATTTTCTTTTGGGAGGTATCTGCTTCATCACCATCACACAACACTTAGGGATAGCAAGTGTTTGGAACTACACTGTGCTTAACTGGCCACAGAGAAGACAGGTCTTCTCCACAAATAGAAATCTAGCATTCTGAAACCTGTTTCATCAAGACACACTCCCTCACCATAGCTGTCATAAATATTCATCCTGTTTCAGCTAAATCAGGCATGTTGCAGTATTAAAAGACCCACATGGGATTTTTTAGACTAAGGCCATGATACAGTTTACTACACTAGAATCCTAGTTAGTGAAGGTGGCTGGAGGGTGAGAACTATGGTGCCTTTTCAACAATTCAGGATAATATGTTTCTATAGTTGGTAGTACTCTAATGACTAGAAGTAGGAAAGCAAGGCAAGACAAGGGAGATAGAGCAGGTAAAGGCCTCCCTCACTTCAGATTCACTCCCTCCATCTCTCCCCCACATTGGAATCTGAGCTATTGTTTCAAGACTGATGCATAGCAGAACCAAGGTCAAGCATTTTATCTTGTGGGTCCTTTTTTTTTTTTTTTTTTTTTGTGGTATTGGGGTTTTTGAAGTTGTGGGTCCTTTTTTGTTTTGTTTTTGTGGTGCTGGCAATAGAACCCAGAACCTTAGGCATGCTAGACAAGTGCTCTACCACTGAGCTCTAACCCCTCCATCCTCTTGTGGGATCTTCTGGTCTCCTTTCTTGACTTGAGCCACACCCCTGGTCCCTACTTCCTTGCCTTTTTTTTTTTGGAGGGGTGCGGTGGTACTGGGGTTTGGATTCAGGGCTTTGATCTTGCTAGGCAGGGCTCTACTACTTGAGCCACACCTTCAGCCCTATTTCCTTCATTTTTAATGAACACCTACCTATCAGGCAGGTGCGGTCTAGGAGGAAGCTTGAATGAGGGATGAAGGAATAGAGACTTCAGTGCTCAGGCTGCCTTCACTTCATCTAAAACAAGGCCCACCTTCATCTCTTACACATGTGAATAAAATTTTATTTGAACAACAGGAAATTGTTGCTTTTTAAAATCACCAACTACTAGTATGCAAAAGGAAAGACCTTGAAAACAAAGCCAGGTAAGCTGGGAGAACATCTGTTTTCCTGATTTAGGCTAGTAGTAACCATGACAAAGGAAGAGATTTCAAGACAGTGAGACGCAAGGCCCTCAAGCCTTAAAAAATTTCAAGCTTCCAGGGCTTCTCGGCAATCAGAAATAATGGAATATAAAACAACCCAAGCTAGCTGGTTTGCCAAAGATGGAGTTTATTCACACAGTGGGAGTGTTTGGTCCTTTAGACCTGCTCCAAGGCTCATTGCTGAGACTGCAACTCCAGGGGTTTTGTATTTGAATGGCCCAGAGAAAAATAGGGTGGCCTTGATAAAGGAGGAAAAGGTCTGAGGACTTGACAGTATGCTAGGCATACTTTATTTTATAATGAGTGAATTTAGGACTCACTCTTGCTAAACAGGTGCTCTGCCTCTTGAGCCACTCTGCCACCCTCTAGGCATTCATTATTTTAAATTTTACCGCAACCCACTCAAGGAAGCAGTCTTACTAGTTACAGATCAGGAAATTAGAAAAAAAATGATTTGCTAGAATCATCCGGTCTAGAAAACGCCTAAACTGAGATTGTAACCAATAGGTTATGTTTTTCCCCTTCATCCTAGGGGACGCTGTGGGGTGAGAAACTAGCCTCAGGCCCCCCTCATAGACAGTCTTGTGTCAGCACAGATAGAGGTTGTGTCAGCAGGGCAGCAGCACTAATAACTTTAGCAATCTCAGAAGTACAGACCTTACGTGTCTCAATCACACCTACCACAAGCACCCTAAGGAAGTGTGAATGAGTCCTTTTTGTGAATGAGGGGGTGCTTATGTGATGCCTGTGAGATGGATTGAGGGTGTCAAGAGAGTGTGACAGTTTTGAGTGTATGTGTTGCTAGTTGAGGACGTGTATGTATGTGGCTAGGAAAGAAATCTTGCCTCTGTGAGAACTTTCTAGAAGGGGTCAGGAGTTATTTTAGAACTGTCTGGGGACAAACTTGAGGCAGCATGTTTTCTCCAGAGGTCCCACCCTGGACCATGGCCTGAGTGTCAACAGAGACAGCATTTGGGGAAGTAGAGAAAACTCAGG